AGCAAAGACAGCTGGTCTGTTGGCTGCTGAGTGGACCCTCACTTTCCCCAGCCCCCTTCTTCCTCCAGGAATCCAAAGACTGTAGATGTCTGGCCCAGGCACAAGCATCTCAGAGAAGCTCTATTGCAAAAGTCAGTGACGTGTGGCTGGGCATCTCCAACCAGGTCCTGTCATGAGTGGAGCCTGGCAACCACCACAGAGTCCTGGGCCTATGTTCATGGGCCTGGGTCTGCAGAACTTGGCACTCACCAATGTCGTTGCTCATGTCTCTGCTCAACCTGGCATTTGCTGACTACGCAGACGCACACATTCCTGTCCTGCAGCTGGTGGGCTAGAAGCCAGTTGATCTATAAATACTTGGCCTGACTCCATGTTCTGGCCCCAGAGCCTCCACACGCTGATGGACAGTTCATCAACACAGTTTTAAGCCAGCACAAGATATCACTTAGAATACGAAATTCCCCTGGATTCCAAGAGGATTCCATATTTGGACAGATATATGTGATGTTCCACAAAGGACTTTCGACATTGCCTAGACTTTGTACTACAGTCAGGGAAACTGAGGCACAAGAAGGCTGGTGCAAGACTGGAAGCAAACATCTGGATCCCAGCTCTGAGGGTCAGGGGAGTGCAGAATTCTTGGTCTGTTCTACCCCTTTATATCTGAGGCCCAGCTCCCTGTTCGTTCCTTACACTTGCCTGTGAGCCCCACCTCTGGGGCCAGGGCAATGGCCAGCCAGCCTCTACAGCCTGAAGTGCCTCCAGAGGCGAAACTGTCACTCCTGTTGCTAGCCAAGGAATGGGAAGGCTTAAGCCACCTGGGATGTGTGTCCTGGGCTACACTGAGGGACAGTTTTTGAGTTCAGCCCAAACCACAGCATCACAGCATAGACACCACAGGAACAATCTGGTTCTCTTTGGCCTGACCCTCTTCCGGGCCCTTGGAAAGAGGTGGGGTCACCGGGACAGGACTCCCCAGCGGGGCAGTCTCACATGACCTCGGCTGCAGCCTGTGCTTACACTCCCATCTTAGCCTGCCTGTCCCAGGAGCTGTGTTCATCAATTACCTGGCAAGCCCTATCCTCAGAGGCCCTCCCAATTTGTGTGGCCATGACCTCTGAGGAAGAAGGACAAGAGAAGAGAGCTGGCTGTGCTCAGGGATAGGCATCAAATGGTTCTGTTGGAAACCGAGCCACACACTGTGGCAGACCTTTCCTGTTGTGTTATGGCGAATCGCATGCTATGATATTGGCTCGTCTTCTTGAGGAACCCGGCCCCAGGCTCACGGTTGCTGGCAGCTGGGCAACAAGGAGACACTAGCATCTCCATGTCAAACTTACCAAGACCCAGTTCTCCCTGTGAGCATTTCCAGGGACTCTCAGTTCATCCTCCCCTGAGCAGTGGCAGCCATTCTCCACTAGCCTGGACTGCAGCTGCAGGCTCCCTTGAGCCCATGGGTGGGGATGCACTCACAGAGGGCAAGAGCTGCACCTTTCTTCTCAGCACTAGGGCTGGCCCAGTCCCACAGGTGCTCCTAGCCAACACATCTGGAATTCATTCTAGGGGAGGGGCTGCTAGGGGGGCAGGGGAAAGAAGCTGTAAAGTAGGAATAGTACCGTGGGTTCAGATCCAAACACTAGAACTCTCTGAAGATCCAAAATGATGCCATATGTACACTGGCAATAACTGTCATGGGGTCAGCCTTGACGAGGCATTGCCCGTGTCTGGCCTCGAACACACAGGCCTGTCTGATAGTTCCACTCTGTGGCCAGCTAGTTGAAATGGACCCAGATCTTCCCATGTTCAATGTTCTCTCATGTACCATCTTCTCCTAGGCAGAACTTAGCAATCTGTAAGATTCTGAGTTCCCAGCTCACTGACCATCCAGTCTCCCCAAGACAAGAACCCTGGTCTTGAGAGCACTGTCTCCTCTTACCCTACCAGATCTAGATAGCACTGGAAAGGGTTGTGACCAAGAATAAGTGGGAAAGGCAGGCTGTGTCTCTTGTGGGTCTCTGACTGGGTGGGTTCACGTACTAGTTCCTTTCTTAGGACAGAAACCATAGCACCATGTGCAAGGATATCTGCCGCTAGGCTGCTTCCAAGAGAAGACATGGACCCCATGATGTTTGAGCATGAGTACCACTAAGGCAGGGGAGGGGGCACAGGCTCTCACATGTCACAAAGGACAAGCATGGATTGCAGCGGCACTAGAGAACAAAGCAATGTGCAGAGCACGGCCACTGTGCAGAGAGCAGGCCTGGCGTGGCTACAAACAGGGCCGACGTTGTAACGGAGTAGGCCTGTAGGGGTGTATGGATGAGCTTTTTTGAATTTTCTCATGTTTTACAACAGGAGTTGGGTGTCAAACCAGAAAAAAAATTTGCCGGGTGTGATGGTGCACTCCTGTAATCCCAGTACTCAGGAGGCAGAGGCAGGGGGAGCTCTGTGAGTTCGAGTCCAGCCTGCTCTACAGAGCAAATACAGGACAGCTGAGCAAGGCTACACAGAGAAACCCTGTCTAAAAAAAAAAAAAAAAGAGTTGAGTGACATGTGCTGGTCAGTGTGTGCTCCCACATAAAGAAGGCCATCTTTAAGTAATCATGTCATGGGCTCTGGACCATGACCTTACTCCAGGGCTGAGGAAGCAAGGCCCTGTGAGGTCAAGGTCGCATGCTAAGGTTGTGCTGCAGAAGTGAAGTCTGGCTTGGGCTCGGTGCAGCCTGTGCTGCACAGCTATGATCGGAAACCGAATGATAGCGTTTGGGATAGTTTCCTCCTTCCTTCCTTCCTTCCTTCCTTCCTTCCTTCCTTCCTTCCTTCCTTCCTTCCTTCCTTCCTTCTTATGCAAGGGGTTGAACCTGGAGTTTCACACATACTAGACAAGCACGCCACCACTGAGCTATATCCCAGCTCTCTTTTTATTTGTTATTTTGAGGCAGGATCTTGCCAAGTTGATCAGACTGGCCATAAACTTTCAATTCTTCTGCCTCAGTTTCCTGCATAGCTGGGATGACAGGCCTATGCCAATTGGCTGGGCTATGAGCATTATCTCATACATATTTTATGCCATCATAAGTCAGCCTGGCAGGGGACACAAGTAGCCAGTGAGGACATCCCCCCCACAAAACCAGACACCTACTTTGGGCTTGGCCTGCTCATGACCCAGTGCAGTGTGCGCTCTGTGTCAGCTCAGCCTGGGCCCTGGCCTAACTCCCAGACCCCAGGTGAAGATTCCCAGGAAGCCTAGGAGGGCTGGGGAGACAGCCATGGCCAGGACAGGGTCTTGTGGGAGGGAGCGGCTAGAGTTGGGAAGCCCATCTGCTCGCCTCACCCCACAGTGGTCCTGCTAGTTGGGCGTGGGGGAGAGGGGAGGATGCTGATCTTGACAGGATGGGATATGTTCCCACCTGGTCTTCCCTCGATGAACATGCAAACCACACAAAGACTGAGGCTATGCCAAGCCCCAGTGCAGTGGAAAAGAGACACGGCTTTCCCCTCCTCCACACAGCAGAACCCAGCCCTGACCAAAGCTAGACTCTGGATGCTGCATATACCACACAGATGCCATCAGGATGCCCCCACGAACAACCCCAGCCAGTCTGCAGGTCTGGAAGCTGCCATATCCTAGGATCCCACTGTACTACTCTGTCAGAGTACCTGCCCTCTCTGGGCCCGGCAAATAGCTTTGCACTAATGAGGCAGGAAACAAGCTAGACAGAGAGCCCCCACCCCACTTCCTGAACCCTGGTGCAGCTTCCAGAGGGGAGGTGGAATGCAGCCCACGTGGCCGCCTTTATCACCCGTTCTCTCTGGCAGCACCCTCCCTAGCACTCAGCGCCACTTTGTTTATTTGCTGACAGGTCCCAGCCTGGTCCCAGGATGTCTGGCCCCTCTGTGGGCAGGACTCTCATTCCCAACTGATGTTCCTCCACACTCTCCCCACAAAAACCTAGAGATGGCCAAGCAGAGAGGACAGGATGTGCTCATCAGTGTCTCTGCCCTCCTGGAGGCGACATGTGTCACCAGCCTAGATCTCTGTTCTTTGGGGGCTCATTTGGGCAGCCTGGGCAAGACATCCAGATTCTCTGAACTCAGTTTGGGGAAGGAACCCCTCACTCAGCATGGCCTGGGGCCACTGAAAATCTGCAGAAAATAAATGATCCAGAAGGGCCTTAGTGGGCAAGCCAGGCTTGTCAGGACGCATCTCGCACAGTCACCACTAGAGAGCGCTGCTGGTGTCTATGCACAGAGGCCAGGGTCTCTAATGCCCCATGAGAGGGGAAAAGGACACTTTGTTTTTGGCGCCTTCAGCCTCTCTCTCAGCCTTGAGGAGCCCAGGTGGAAATCACAATGTGTTTTCCAACCAGGAGGCTGAGGCCCTGGACGTGGAGGGACCAGCCAGGAGCTAGGGCCCAGATTGTCTACCTAGGGTCTCCTAGAGAAGCCTTTAAGTCCACGGAATCCTAGTGAAGATGACATTCACACCCTCGGAAGAGCTGGGCTTTGGCGCTTGGCATTGGACTTCTAGAAACTAAAGTGGAAGTATGTTGGAGGTCTGGCCAGGTTCCCCCACACCTACAATACCAGGATGATGACAGGGTAGGAGGAGTAGATCCCCCAGGGAATGTGGGACCCTGCAGAGAACTGTCATCTGACCCCAGCCATGTTGTAGAGGCCTGGCTTAGAGGAGCAGCCCTGCAGCCCTGAGAGGAGGGCACAATGGCAACTGTGCAAGCAACAAAGGCTCTCCCAATTGAGGCTGGCATGTGTGAGGCAGCAAGTGGAGGACAGGTAGCACAGGATCTTGACCCCTGTCATGCCTCTCTGAGCTCCCCTCAGGGTCAGACTGGCTGCCATCATTTCTGACTGGCATTGGAAGCTGAGGCCCAGGGAGATAAAGAGACTTGCCCGAAGGAACCAGACTCCCACCCTACCATTGTTGAAAGTTGCTACCACCACAGCCCAGACCGCAGAGGTCGGTGGCCGTTGCTACCTACCAAGTGCCCAGCAGCTCTCGCCAGCTGGTGGGTGGAGAAGGGGAAGGCCTCGTTGCTCAGGTCAGCATCGAGCACGTCCTGGAGAATGGCACGGCTGTGGACAAGGACAAAGAGGTCAGTCAGTGAGTCACTGTTCATCTAGACCATCTGGTAGGAACAGCCCACAAGTGCCACCATGTCAGAAAGCCTTTCCTACCAGCTGTCAGGGATGCCGGGCTACCGATGAGCTCTGGTCTCAGGAGGGTAAACTAAAATAGAGTTATCCAACTACCAGGCACCCTGGATCACACCGGAGTCACCAGGTGGTCACCGAGAGAAACTGTCGATGGTGAAAGCCAAAGTTCAAGCTGCTGTGAGTAGATAGGACCCAGCAGGAGGGCACAGGAGCATAATGCACTAGCAGCAGCGCCACCGCCACCTCCACCATCTCCACCACCACCTCTACCACCACCTCCACCATCATGACTGTCACCTCCACCATCACCACCACCACCTCTATCACCACCTCCACAATCGCTACCATCACCTCTACCACAAATACCACCACCTCTACCACCACCTCTGCACCTCCACCATCACCACCATCACCTCTACCACCTCCACCACCTGATGCGTCCTCCAACAAAACCCAAGAAGTCCTGCCTGCAATGGGTTCACGGGGAGGTAGAGAGATCAGAGTCCCATCCTTCTGGTGGGCATGACCTCCCTGAGACAGGACCGTACCTAGTGCTCACAGCTGGGGCATCCCTGCAGCATGGGACTCATCCCCAAATGGTGTCACATCACAGTGGCTCATACTATCATGGCCGCTGCTTTCCTAAACCACAATACAGTCCCTACTCACATTTCTACCATTCCTCTAAACTACCACTGAGGCACAGACTACTGCATTCCTCACTGGCCTCAGCCAGTCTCCCTCTCCCACCTCTTCACTCCGTTGCAGCCCTGCTCAGGCCCTTCTGCTGAGAAACACACAGAATCTTGCAGGCCTATGCCCCAAGCTCACCTACCATCCAGGCCTCCTCCCAGCTCACCTCTCCTGTGTCCCTCCACTGTCCCACCCTGCTTCTGGTCATATTTGATCCTCTGTCACCCTTCAGCTCTTGACTCATCCAGAAGTCACCTCCTCTAGGCAGTCCCCTTAGATTCCCTCCCCAGGGGTCTCGGAGGTGTCCCTGTGTGACCACACAGGCATCTTTCTTTTTTTTCTCCCAGCCCTCTAATCCAGGGGCTCTGTGCCAACAGGACCCTACACCATCTACTGCTTGGCACACAATTATCTGCTGGGTGGTACCAATTCCAAGCATCTGGGCTTGACACGGGCAGAAGAGCAAGTACCAGAAGAGTAGAAACATCCCCACTTCTACCCATCAGGGGTCCCAGAGGGCTGCAGCAAGCGCTCAGAAGTGCAGCCAGCCCAAATCCCCACCCCACAGAGCTTGGAGCTACCACCCACGCCCGCCTGAGGTGCTCAGCCGCTGCCTTCTGCCAAGATCCTTATGTAACCCCAGCCCCACGTGGTGCTAGCCCTAGAGGTTCAGCTCGGCTCTGCTGCCTGCAGACCTCCCAAAACCCAGGCTCCCACAGCCCCGGGGCAGCCACACAGCAGAAAGGTGGCCTGGCAGGCTATAGGGCTGTGTTGTCTTTTTCACAGGACAGAGGTGTTTCACATGGTTCCTAAAGTGGGGCCTGAAGGACTGTGATCAAGGCTGGATTGTCAGCTGCAGAGGACAGTCACTCAGGCCTGCCAAGGCTGCTTCCTTGGAGAAGAACAGGTGGCTTGAGGAAAGGGGCCGCCTGGAGTCGTAGGGGCAAGTCCCAGTCTCTGCTGTGCCTCAGCCCTGGCTGCTAAATGAAGACCCTCATGGAATCACAGAAGCATGGGTCTAGCGCCTGGGGCCCATGCTGACAACTGTAACCATCCCACACAGCTCCTTGTGCCCCCAGCAACTACAAAGCTCATTAAATTGAAAAACTCAGCTGCCAAAGGGGTCAAGTGCCAGGTAAGGGTTCAGCAGCTGCTGCCCTGGCTGGCTCGGGGATGGCTGATTTCTAGAAAGTTCTTCTGAGTAGTGGTACACATAGTGCCTCCCATGACCCAGGTGTTGCGCTAAGTGCTCCCACACAGCTTAGAAACTAGGCCTGTTCGCACTAGTGACATTACTACTCATATGGGAAACAGGCGAGCCTTACTGGAGGAGGGTGGGGGAAGAGGCGAGGAGGAGAGCTGCCACCCGGCTGTCCCCTGGGGCTGCACCTTGATCAGACTGCCTGGCATTCTCCTTCCTTCCCTCCCTCCTCACCCACTGGCCTTCCTCACTCCAAACATAGCCCAGCCCTGTCCAAATTCACCATGCAACGAAGCTGGCATCTCCTGAGGGAGCAGGCAGGGCCTCTAGCGCAGCAGGTAGAACTCTAGTCCTTGAAGTTGACATATGGGCTCCCCCCACCAAGGAGGGTATTAGAAGCCATGCCCCAGCACCGTTGGTACCCTGCAGCCAGATGCTAATCAAGCTCTCTAAATGTTTGAATAAATGGTTTCCATGTCCCCATGTGGCAGCCTTGAAGTGCTATCCTCACCATCTACCCCTCCCTCTTCCTGGCTCTGGAGATATATCTTCCACCAGCTGACCCATATGACCTGGTGCCCCTCCTGCTCTCAGAGCACTGGGCAGGATCTGGATTCAGCCAGAAGTCACTGGGTTGGTCAACCCCAAAGTGCCAGCATATAGACACCTCAGCAGGGTCTCAGCACACTAATCAGGGTCCCAGCAAGACACCCAGTGTGGGAGAGGTATCACCAGACAACCAAATTTGTCACACCTATCCCCAGGGGGTCCTGGCAGCCCTTTCTAGGGAATGAATCTTCCCCTTCCCCAGAAAGTGGCTCCCTTCTGCCCTGTCTCTCCCTCCTTCCTTCTGTTTAACACCCCACTTCCAGTCTGTGCACAGGACTCCTTCAAGCACAGGAATGCATCTCTGGCCCCAGCACATGGCAGGCCCTGTTGGTCGCCGAGGGATATCACCTAGTGCAGATACAGCTTCTCATGAGGGTTATTGACTTGGTGACTAGGGTGGTGATAAGGGTATGAGAACACCTGACAGATCAAGGAGTTCCCCGTGTCCTTCTGCCTTACCTCCCAGAAACTGTGTGGTGCCAGCAAGTGTCTCTATCTGTTTCATCAACAAGAAAAGAGCATTCCCAGCCACCTGGGATGGTTAACCTTGTCCACATGCTTGGACCAAGGGGCCCCAGAAGACTAGGAGAACCTCTGAGTACTATCTATGGAGCTATTCCAGAGACCTGCTTTGAATGGGGTGGCATGGCACCAGATAGCATAAGGAAGGAAAAGGAAGAAGCCCTTGTCACATGATCTCTCTCTTTCCTCTCTCTCTTCTTTCCCCTTCTCCTCTCTCCCACCTTTTTTCTCAATTCTCCCCTTACATCCTCTCTCTCTCTCTCCCCCTTTGAACCTGTCTGTCCCTCTCTCACTCTCCTTCCTTTCCCCCTCCCTTTGAACCTATGACTAAAAACTTTCCTCCCTCAGGTCATTGTCTAACCGAAATTCAGTCACAGCAACAGAGCACCTACCCCCATGTGCATGCCCCCACCCCAGCAGCATCAGAAGTGGAGGCTGGGTCAGCGCCACGACTGGCTGTGCTTGGCTGCTGGCTATTCCCAGGGCATTCCTTCTTCCTTTCTGTTTCCCCCACCCTGCCCCTTCCCCAAAGCTCTACCAGAGCTGTCTTTCCAAGATGCACACCTATCATACATCCTAGAGCCTAAGACCCTTAGTAGCACCCAAGGGTCCTCACAAGATCCTTATTCCTCCTGCATCTGGAACAAGGCTCAGTTAAAAATTATAGCATGCTGGGATGGTGGGTGGCCTTGTCTGACGTATAGAGAGGACTGGGCGGCCTCTCCTCAGCTCTCTTACTAACAAATGGGAGTGGGCCCACACCTGGCCTGATTCTTCCCACTTGGGGGGATGAAGAATCATAGCAGCCAGGGTCTCTAAGGGGGTCTTCACGGAACACAAGGCTGTAAAGTCAAGCTGACCCTGGTCCAGAGCTGGCCTAAACCTGATTCTTTAAAAACTGCTCAGTCTGTGCCACAGCCCAAGCTGTCAGAGAACCCATTGCTCAGGTGAGTGGTTCTGCCTGTGAGCTGAGCTGGAGGAGCATGGGTGCACTTAGGACAGGGATCATGGCCCTGTCCTCTCTCACCTGGCTGGGCCTTGGATACTGAGCATGCCCAGATCTTCAGAACTATCCACAAGCTGGCACTGGAACTCCTGGTCTTGCAGCACCGTGGTTATGTGGGACCAGTTGTGTTGGGCCACGGCCCCACCCACGGCCAGGTAGTAGCCATCCCCTGGGGGAGAAGCACCAGGGTTAGAACAGGAGCTTGGGACAGGGAACATAGCAAGGGTGAGCTAAGGGCCCCAGACTCTTACTGAAGGGTATAGCTTGGTTCCTATAATGTCAAGGGCTCCCGTCTACTTCTCAGAAAAAAGGGTTAAGACTTTGGTGCCTTCTATTCAGGGATGGGGGGGTCTATCCAGCCTCAACCCCTAGGGCAAAGTGGCCTCAGACAAATATTTTTCCCTTTCTTGAGTCTCAATAGTATTACTAGCTTCTATCATTAACACACCCCATACCCTTGGGCTCCCTGTCTCTGCGAAGTTAGCTGGGCTTAGAGATGGGAGAGTTAGAGGTAACACTCTGAGGGGGTCTCTAGATTCAGTTAACCATGGTAAGAAGACCCCTCCATCTGCAGGTGACATCATGGACTAAATAAGGGATCAAATAAAGGGAACATGAGCTGAGCACCAGCATGCATCGCTCTCTGCTTCCTGAGTGTGGCTGCGACATGATCAGTCTTCTCAAGGTCTTGCCACCGCGTTTCCCCCGCTGTTCCCTCAGAGTGTGAGCTGACGAGCCCTTCCTTTTTCAAGGTGTTTGTTATAGCAATGGGAGAAATGGCTAATACAACCGCAATCGCCCATGGTGTTAACACAGCGACTTCCCCAGGCTTCAGAAAAGGAGACACAAGTTCAGAAAGGACATGTTTCGGTACCAGATGAAACCCACTGTCCCCATGTCCATGGGCACCTGCAGAGCCTCACTGGCCTTGAGCTTCTGCCCTTGGACACCAGCTCACCCCCATCGGGCATTCTGGGAAACCACTGCCTCAGTCTTAGTGAACAAGGTCACTAATCACCATGTCCCCTCGGTGATTCAGGGTTCACAAAATTGTCTGTCACTGGCAAGGGTGCTATGACCTGTGGTAGTGAGGCATCCCTGAACCATCCATTGAATTTATCACCCCTAAACTTGGGGGTGGGGATCTGCCACAGGGGAGTCAGGCTTCTATGTGCCCCCGCCATCTTTCTGACCTCCTTCTCTGCCTCCACAAGGTTTCGCTGTGTCATAGTACAGGCCCTAGAGGTCCTTGAGGCTCTTGGCCCTGGTCACTTGCTTAAACAGTGTGGATGCAACTTGAATCCCCTTATAGGGCTGCTGGGAGGAGGCAAACCCCAGCAGGCACAGGAAAGAAGCAGAAAGGTAATGTTTACACACTCTGCTCCCCGTCTCCTTCAGGAGCCCCTTCCACTCAAGCTTCTCCCAGCTTGGGTGTCACTTTCCTTGGAGAGAAAGGGGAGGCTGGGACTCACACCTAGGCAGGCTCAACCCCTGCACCAACCACGCACATAACCAGATTAGACAGGCTGCAGCCTGGAAGATGGGGAGACCTGAGAACATCCCTGGCCGGGCTGTGCCCCTGCCCTGTGAGTAAAGGGTCAGCCACAACTATGGCTGGAACACTGACCCCAGAGCTTCTTTCCTGCTAGGAAAGGGATGGTTGACAGCAGAGATGAAGAGCCTTGCTCTCTCCCCAGGAGCACTGGCTGGGCCCTGATGGGGGTTCTGGGATCAGGATGACCTAATGACCCTGATTAAAAGCTTCAGGATATTGAGTCCCTTTGTCCCTTCCTTCAGGGTTTAGCCTCACTGTCATGCCAGCTAGAAAAGGAGCAGAAAGTGTATCCAAGAAGCCATGAAACCTTGTACCCTCCAGAGCAGCCCGTGGCCTCATCATTGTGTTCTATGACACCTTGCCTGCTATCCCAGATTCATCCCAAAGGCCTCAGCCTCTGGAAAGAGCCTCACAGAAGAGCCCTTGGCATCACTCATGGTTCCCTCACCCCCACATCCCATGTGCACCCCAAGTGGTCCCATCCCCTGGCACATTGTCAATGGTCTGGTCAACCTGCTCTTACATCTCATGGCCCTTAGGACCACCCAAGCTTTCCCAGGGTCCTTGGAGTCTTTGCCAACAGTCTTGCATGCCCTCCTTGTGGGACTTGGCTCTATTTGACTCTGCCAAGTCCTCTCCTTTATTTGCTGATCCTCAACCTCCATGACCATCTCAGGAGGTGTCATCTCCTCCTGGAACCCTTCACTCTCACCCTGCAGAGCTCTATAGTAGTCTGTGTCCATGACAGCCAAACCCAGGCACTCTGCCTCCAGCCAGTCTCCTTACACCTGTGATGCACCCTGAAGAGCATCCTCTGAGCCATGGGGGCAGAAGGACTGCTTCCTCAAACCTGACACTTTTATTTTAGAGACTCCTCACAGGAACACACATCCATAGAAGGATGCGGTCTTGAGAGGCACACAGGCTCTGGCCGCCTGTCCTGCTGCACTATCTGCCACTTGCAGATGTTCCTCTCACCGAGTCTCTCCACTCTCTCTCTACAATGGGCCTGGCCCCAGCACAAGGCTACTGAGAGCCTCCAGGGCAACGTGCTGCCAGAGCACTGGTCAGGGCCCAGCAAAGCCTCCCTTAATCTCATATGAGGAAGAGGGAGGGAGGGAGAGAAAATGAAGGGGGGAGGAGAAGGAGGGAGATAGGGAAGGAGAGATGAGAGGGAGGGGAGAGAGGGGAAAGGAGGAGAGAGAGAGTTAGAAAAAGAGAAGAAGGCTCCTTGGTTCCTGGCTGGAGTTGCCAGAAGATTTGAATTCTAGACAGCGTCTTTAATCCTAGGCCAAAGTGTATCCTGCCATGACCAACTCTCTCTCTTTCATAGGTAGTTCAGCACCCATTCTGTTACCAGCCTGAGTTCCCCACCAGTTGGCTTGAGAATGACATGCCTGCTTGCCCTGGGCCACCTCCACTTGGCTGCCCTACAGAGAGAATGCAGGGCCCTGGACATGGCGAAAGGCAGATCCACATGAGCTAAGGGGCAGAGTCTCACCCGAGGCTCCTCTTCACCATTTCCAGGTATGGGGTGAGCACTGCGGGTGGCAGGTCTTACATGCCGTTTTCATTATGTCGGTGTATTTCCGACAAGCAAGAACACTTTTTATAATATTAAGAAAGATGAATAAAGATAATTTAAAATTGCTTCCAAGATTGACAGCTGCTTAGTACACAGCCTTGATCACATGTAAATTGTCACATTCTCTTAACTTACTGGAGCTCTGAGTCACACGCATAATTAAGATGTGTATTAAATATATACATACTTAATGTGATGCATATTCATCACAGGACCTGTGTTAGTGCAGGAGCTGTTTCTCTGCTGTTTTGGGGTGCCCCTGGGACCCACAGCTTCCATGGCATGGGGCTTACTGCTCATGCACCTTCAGTGTTGGTCTCCCTCAAGCACTCAGCCCCAGGAACTGTGCATAGGGTGGGAGGTACAAGAGAATGTGTCACAAAGCACTTTCTTGGAAGCTTCCAGCAAGGTCATCATTGCCAAGATGAGGAAACTGAGGCTGGGGAGGCTGCATATGATCCCCTAGCTCCTCTTTGCTCTTACTCATTCCTGTAGCAGCTGGAGGGAGTGGGCTCTCCAGTCCCTGTTCACAAATAGGGAGACTGAGGCTCAAAGAGCTAAGGTCTCAAAACTTAAAAATTACAAAAAGGGTGGTGAGGAGGTAAGGTGTGGTGGGATACAGCCCTTGCTGAGAATGCACTTGGTCTGAGGTTCACCCCCTCCCAGTGCAAAAAATGAAAATAAAAATCAGAACTCTAGCTGCCTCACACACAGAGACAAGGGTACGGAGTTCACCGAGACACAGAAACAAGGGAAGATTCAGGAAGCAGCCAGGTGTCCACATGGGCCAGCACTGCCCCCTGTAACCAACTTAGCTAGTGGCCCGGAGAGCCACACAGGTGGTACCTCCCCACTGCAAACCACCCTTTTTAGAAGCATCGATGCTCTTTTTCAAAAAAGACGTGACTGCCCTGGTCCCTCTTTTCTCCTGGTGGACATAAGCCACAGGACAGGAGGTGGAGCTGCCTGTGTGGAGACTGACAGGTAGGATGCAGGGTTGGGGTGACAGGAGGCAATCTTGTTTAGATGTAACAGCTAAGGTTGTGCGAGCAGGACTAAAGTACTGAGCTGTCATTAGGTGTGCAAGGAGAAGTGGAAGGACACAGGTCATCCACGGGCTAGTGTGGGCAATGAGCCACACTGGACACTTCCAGGCCTGAGACTGGCAATAGCTCGAAAGTGGGACTAGCCCAGACGTCAGGTTGGGAAGAGACTGCACTATGAGTGGGAGATGCAGCCTTCCCCTGGGCTGATGCTAGCCTGGGCAGTGGGGCTAAGTGGACCCACACCAGGGCTGCTCCAACATGCCACAGCACCAACAGGTTCAGAAGGCATAATTACAGAGTGCTCAGAGCAGCAGCACGGCTGCCTGAGCATAGCCTGCATTTAGCCTGAAATGAGACCGCTAATCTCCAGGTCCTGACCACAAGTGGACATGACAGGTAATTATATAGTCATCCGGAATAACCCTCTGTGACCTTCTGGCCACCAGTGACTTGTCAGTCCTCTGAACAGGTCACATCTGTGTCATTTCTGCCCTCACAGCAACCTTACCTTCAAAGGCAGGGGCCAGGGGACTGTCCTGGGCACCAGGGGCCAGGCGGCTAACGGTCAGGTCACTCTCCGCGCCTCCCCGATGGTTCAGCATGCATGTGTATACTGTTGAGCCTGGTAACAAGGACCCAGGTATGAGCTCCACCAAAGCTTGCTCCTCCTCAGAGCCTAGAAGGCCCCAATGCAAGTCTTCCTCATAAGGCCTCCTGCCTGTGACCAGATTACTCATGAGGTCATCCACGATTGGAGGGGTTTCTTTGAAACTGCTTGCCTGGCCTCTCCCTCATCCCTACCCTTATCACCCACAGCAGTGTGTGGATATGGCAGTATCAATGTCTATGGGATAAGTGGTCATGTGGATGAACAGAGGGCAGGTAGATAAATGGATGAGGTGAGTGGGGTGGGTACCTGGGGTGAGTAGATAACGGGAAGGAAGACAGCTGATGGGGGGGGGGTGAGCAGGTGGGTGGAGCTTATGGGGTTGATGGGCTGCTGACTGGCTGCACACAGGCTGTCATAGGTTGACACATGTTCCACACACAGACATGTTAAGCTTTTGACTCCAAGGACTTGTGGGTGAGGCCTTATCTGGAGGTAGGGCCTTTATAACTCTGTGTGAGGCAAGCTCCTTCAGATGAGCTCCCATCTAGTAGGACTGTTTACGAAAAGAGGTAAGTAAAGGCCTGGAGAGATGACTCAGTACATTTAATCCACAGGACCCATGTGAAAAAGCCAAGTGTGGTGGTGCACACTTAGGATTCCAATATTAGGGAGGCAAAGATGGGAGGGTCCCTGGGGCTCCCTGGCTGGTCAGCCTAGCCTTCTTGATGAGCTCCAGGCCAGGGAGAAGCCCTACCTCAAAAAACAAAAACAAAAACAAACAAAAAAAGAAACAAAAACAAGGTGGATAGTTCCTGGGGGATGAAAACCAAGACTGCCCTCTGACCCCACATGTGTGGGTATATACATGCACCCCTCCCTCACACACATGCAAGAAGAAAGGATGGAGGGTGCAGCAGGTGTCATCAGAGATGGATGGAACAGCTGCATGTCAAGCCAGGCCAGCACTCCCACCATCCTTCCACCAGGCAGGAGGAGGGGCCCCACGCACACTCCTGGAGTAAAGGCACTGGCCCAGCACCCTGCTTCTAACCTCTGGCCTGCGTGACCAGGAGATAATCCACCCCTTGTTTGAAAATCTTATTGGAAACCTCTCAGCCTGTGGGACTCATTATAACAGCTATGGAAAAGGAATAAAGATGAGGATGGGTGGGAGGGTGAGTAAAACAGTGGGTAGATGGTGACAAAAAAAAAAAAAAAAAAAAAAAAAAAGATGATTATCCCAAATATTTCATGGGATACACCATAACAAAAATCGTTCATCATTTACTCAACATTAAATTTTAACTAAGCATTATAGATTTTTAATTCTGGCAACCACGCAGGGAAAGCACCACAGTGGTGGAGAAAAGTTCAGGTGCCAGGAGGGGCTGCTGAGTACTCATGGCCACAGATCCCTTGTGTCAGCCAAAGAAATGAAGGGATCCAGAAAGAGGAAAGAAGAAAGAATGGAGGAAGTAATGGAGGAGGAAGAAGACCCTGGGATTGGGAATTGTGACAGGGCACAGAGGGCCAGACAGCAGACCGGTCAGACCCAGGGGAAGAACAGCAGGCCTGCTGTCTGCTCCCTCGTCCCTGTGCCCACAGACTTCCATTTGATACTGAAGTAGGAGAGGAGTAGCTCCATCCCACCCTGGGCCCAGTACCTGGGGGGCGGTTGACGTCTGCTGAGAAGAGCCAGTCAGCAGCCTTCCTGGCGTCCACCCCGAGCAGGTAGAACTTCCCGAAGTAAGACATGTTGAACACGGCAGCAGCCCCTCTGCAGGCCAGACATTCCTTCTGGATCTGAAAGGCCCAGTGCAGGAGAGGCTTTTCACAGTACTGCCTCGGAGACATGGGGCTGGGCCTTTCCTGCCACACCTGCTCAAGGCCTCCCTAACACCACCCTCCCAGCCTCTCTGTCATCTCAGCTCAGGGGCCACCGTAGTGCACTGTTTTCCGGAACAAGAAGCGCACAGAGGACATTGGGCAGCAAGTCATAAATAGGCTCTGTCATTCAAAAGAATTGCCATAAAAACCAGGCATGATGGCACAGGCCTGTCATCCCAGAACAAAGGAAGTAGAGGCAGGAGGACCAGAAGCTCAAGTTAGTGACCCAGCCTAGAAACTAGAGAGAAAGTAAACTAACCACACAAGCGGAAGGAAAGACCGCCAATATACGAAACTTACATCTCTGTGCACTAACATGGAGTGATCTAAAGAGAAACCAAGAAAACAATTCTATTTTCATAGCCCCAAAGCAGTAAAAACACCTAGAAGTAAGCTTGAAAAGAGAAATGAAAAGTTCTTACTGTAAAAAGTTTAAAATGGGGGAAGGGGCCTGGAGAGGTGGCTCAGCAGTTAAGAGCACTGGTTGTTCTTTCAGAGGACCAGGGTTTGATTCCCAGCACCAACATGGCAGCTCACAACTGCCTGTAACTCCAGTTTCAGGGATTCCAACACCCTCATATATACATAAATGCAGGGGAAACACCAATGAACACGAAATAAAAAAGAAATAAAACTTTTCAAAAAGTCAAGAATGTGTGTGAGCACATGTGTGCAGGCACATGTGCATGGATGTGTGGAGACCGTGGGCTGATATCTGGCATCTTCCTCTACCGCTCTCTGTGTTACATTTTGAGGCAGGGTCTCTCACTAACCCTGAAACGGGCTGATTGGCTAGAATGGCTTAGCCAGTCTCCTCCTGTCTCTGCCACTCCAGTACCTGGCTTTTTATGTTCCATCCAGGGATCTGAACTCATGCTTGTACAGCAAGACCTATGAAGAATATTTTAGAAAAAAAAAAAAAAAAAAAAAAAAAGACCAAAACCAATGGAAAGACACCAAAGTTCATGAGACAGAAGCTATGCTGTTGGGGAGGTGACTACACATTCAAGTTGATCTATACATTTGATTCAATCCCTACCACAACCTCAGCTGGACCCTCTGTAGACAGTTTGCTCACCCCAAAATTCACATTCAATTTCAAGGGGTCAGAATATCTTAAATAATATTTAAAAAGAAGAACCAAATCGATGTGGTCACACTTCCTGATTCTAACACTTGCTGGAGCAGGGGGACTACAGTAGACAAAATATCCAACATTTGCTGGAGAGGGCGGAGGAGGCCACAGTAGACAAAATAGTATAGAGCTGAGCTAGGAATAAAGATGTGGATTACTGGGGTAGAGCCCAGAGTCTGGAAATTACCCTGATGATGTCAATGGAGATTGGTTTTCAACAAGGACCCCAGGAGAATTCCATGGGGATAGAGTCATCTCAGAAAATGGATACCCACATGCGAAAGAATGATGTCTAAACACTTCCTCACACCATGCACAAGACTCCAGACAAAAATGAGTTGTAGACACAGGGCTAATGACAAACCCTTAGAAGAAAACACAAAAGTATGTGTTTGTGGCCCCAGCCAGCTCTTAGGCAAGATGTTGAAGGCATGAGCAACACAAGGCAAGAGAGATGAATTGGACATCATCGAAACTTTATACATTTATACAACAGAGCAACACAAGGCTAAGAGAGATGAATTGGACAACATCGAAACTTTATACATTTATACAATAGAGTTTGTTTTGCAAATGATTCCATAATGACAGTGAACAAGGAATGAGAGAAATGTATATACTGTACATCAAACAAGGGACTTGTACCCAGGATGTGTATTTATTTTAGGCTTTGTATGTGTCTGTGGTGTATGCCTATGTGCTTGGAATGGCAATACAAATGGCCATTCCAGAGGACATTCCTAATGGCCAGAGGACATTAAGTGTCTTGATCTATCGATTTCCACATTTTTCTCTTGAGACAGGGTCCCTCATTGATCCTGTGGGGGAGGGGATAGAGTGGGGAATGGGGGTGACTCCTGATGACTATGGGTGTTCCTTGTAGAGAGATGAAGCTGTCCCAAGAACTCGCTGAGGAACAGTGAATGGAAAGTTTTCAATCGATAAAGTGTGTGCCATGGAAGTTATATCTCAATAAAGCTATTAACAATGAAAAAAACTACACACCTCTGCTGCCTCCTAGCCACTGATTAGCTGTGCCAACCTCACTTTTGTTACTGAGGGTACATACAAATGATGATGGGAGCAGCTACCACGGGCTGAACAGCCAATGAGTGTCTGAAAGCTGGATCTGTCCTCGACTCATCAACCAGCGAGATGGCTGCTATCAACTCTTGGTATCTGTGGGGCTCTAAAGTCAAGAGCAGCACAGGGAAAAGCCATAGAAATGCTCCCAGCATGGCCACAAAGAGACCCTCACCACAAGGATGACAGTGGAGGTCTCTAATGCCACACCCAGAGCTGAGCCAGGCAGAGAAACTAGCCTTTTAGACCGTGCAGTAGGCTTCTGGGCAAGAGCCGCAGACCTTAGCCTTTTGCCAGCACGTTGGCACAGCATGCCACCTCTTGAGGCCTCAGCCCCTCTGCCTCCCTCCAGACATCATTAAGGATTGCTCGATGTCCGCCGGGCTTTGAGGTGCCTTTGCTGGCACTATTAGAGCTGCTGACCCAAACCAAACCGCTCTCTGGGCTGACACTCACTGTCTGCCTGGCTGGGGAGGCTGCCAATGCGGAGAACAAGTGTGTGTTTCATGCGTGGGGACTGTCTCTGGTGCATTTGTGGAGGCTGGATGAAGCTGCTAAGCCAAATTGGCATCTCCCCCAAGCTTCCACACCCTCCAGGGCCAGGAGTCGCACAGGCTCTAGAAGCTACAGGTGCCGAGGTGCCAGACGCAGCCACGTACTCCCTTTGAGGAGGCTGTGGGGACTAGGCACCAAGCTGGCACTAAAGCTGCTGTGTTTTATGGAGCTCCCACTTCCCCCTACCACCTCAGAGAGCCCTGACCTGTGCTAATAACTGTTTACTCCTCTCACACACTTAGACAGAAGGGCTAGGATATGCTCTTGCTGTCAGCATTGGCCACCATGTGCCATGAAAATGAGAGCTCTATTTCATTAGTTTGGGGAGACACAGATACCGTTAACACTGACTGCAAGGAACCTAAGTGATGGCAGCCCCATCCTATGAAGCCCACCCTGGGTACCATGATGCCCTCCTGATGCTTTGCCCACAGTCGAGGCCCTCCACTGAGGGCTTGGCTCTGCATCTACCTACAATGCCCCGTGGGACACCACAGGTGGCCCAGGCGTAGTGACATGACCAGAGACAACTGCAGTTATCAAAGGATCTGGGGAGGCATGGTGTGGCCATCATCACTGTGCATTCTGTGGGAGCTGCCTGCAGGATCTACTCTGCTGCGGGAATAGTTGGCCCCCAAGACTCAGCACCTCGTTCCTGGTAGGGTAGAGAGCCAGGCCCTTTAGAGAGGGACCACAAACTGCATTGACAGCCTTAGCTGCCTACTTATTTGAGTCAGTGGACATGCGCCAATGCTGCAGCCACCCAGCCCTGGTCTCCTCTGCTTTGTCCTTCTAGCAACCTTGGGCATAGGGCCAGCAAGCCTACATTGTTCTACACATGGAAGTTGGAGGCTTCTGCAGGGCCAAGAAGAGGAAGCCCCATCCCTCATGGAGCCTCACAGTCTCAGGGCCAGAGAACTAAAAGAGGGTATAGTCCTGGCCCGAAGCCAGCTCCTTTCTTTGGTTCTTTGGTTGGTTGGTTGGTTGGTTGGTTGGTTGGTTGGTTGGTTGGTTGGTTGGTTGGTTGGTTGGTTTTGGGGGTTTTGGGTTTTTTGTGGTGTTTTTTGGTTTGTTTGTTTGTTTGTTTTTTGTTGTTGCTGTTGTTTTATTTTTGCCCACTTGACATAAGCCAGAGTTACTGGGAAGGAAACTTTAGCTGATAAAATACCTCTATTCAGATTGCTTATAAACAAATCTGTAGGGCATTCTTGATTAATGTAGGTGAGCCTAGCTCACAGAGGGCTGTGCCACTCTGGTTAGGTGGTCTTAAGTTGTATAAGAAAGCAGACTAAGTAAGATATGAGGGATGAACCAGTACACTTTGTTCCTCCATGGCCTCTGCTTCAGTTCCTGCCCCAGGTTCCTGCCTTGAGTTCCTGCCCATTACGATGGACTACAAGCTATAGCTGGAATAAACCCTTCCCTCCTCAGGTTGCTTTTGGTGCTTGTGCTTTATCACAGCAATAGAAACCTTAACCAAGACAGGCACCCACGCCAGCTGCCTCAATCCTGCCTTGCTGCCCTCCAGCAGCAACAGTGAGAGACCCTTGGACCTGAATGCTGGCAAAATTATGGTGCAGAGGAGAGAGGGAAAACATGACATGGTTCCCACAAAACTGTATTAACCAGAAAGGGGTGAACCTGGAGCAAGCAGGAGCCCCTCAGAGAGCCACGAGCCCTGCAGCACCTCGGCAGAGGCATCTACGGTAGGAAGAGAAGGCAGCGGGGGACTCAGCCAGACCCAGCTCAGGCTACTCACCATGTGATGGTGCACTGGGAAATCAAAGGTGTACTCCTCGCCTAGCAGCCTGCTGTAGGCGTAGTCCCTGTGTGCCTGGTTTCCATAGGCTCCATAGTAGTCGTAGTCAAGGACCTGTGACAGAAAAGAGGCCAGCTCCCACTCTCCATTCCTCTTCCTCCCTCCTTGTGGCCTGAAGATAGAATGCCCCCACCCCAGACTCATACGTGTGAGTGCTTGGTTCTCAACAGGGGGTTGTGGGATGTTTCAGAGGTAGAGCCTTATTGAAGTAAATGGGTCTGTGGAGGATGGGAAGTTGAGACGTCATAGCCCAGCCCCACTTCCTTCCTGCTCTTTACTTCCTGTCTGAAGACACAGTGTGGCCCAACGCCTGGTGTTCCTGCCACCATGACTTCCCTACTGTGCTGTTGTGTCCTGCTGATACAAAGGTCTCCTCCCTTAGGCTATTCGGTCACAGCAATAAGAACAATATCTTCCTCACTCCCTCTCTCCTCTCTCCTCCCTCCCAGAATGAACATGATACAGGCCTGGTCCTGGCCTCCACAAAGCTCCCCCTGGGACAGTTAGTGAGTGGGTCACAGATGATGCACGGAGATTGCATGGCTCGGGTAACAGAAGGATACCTGCTCAAATGACAGTTTATTCCCTGCCTTTCTGGGTCTGACTGGAGGGCAGGGAAGAGACTGGATACCAAGTGAACTTGGGCCACTGTGAGGGCCTCCACCCGATCCCAGGACATCAGGTGGACGCTGAAAGTGTGGGTGGGAACCAGCACAGTGATGGCTGCAGGTACTGTTGCCATGAAGATTCGTGACACCTCCAGTCCCCATTGACAGTACCCACAGCTCCTAAGGAGGGCCACCTATTCTACAGATGGAGAATGAGAATCCCAGGCAGCGAAACCCACCCCAAGATATAGATCAGGCTACAGAGTCAAGGCTTGAAGCTGGGTAGGCATGACTGGTGTCTACAGCTAACTCTGGGGAAGGCTCCAGTGTCTGGGTCCTCTCCATGATTTTAGCTTCCCCTGAGTTCTGTCACCTGTTAGATGCCCCCCCCACCTCTGTGACGTCAGGCTCTGAGTGGTTTCCTCCTCATTGCTGGGGTGAATAAAGGAGCTATGGATCTCATCTCCCAAAGCTGCAACTCTAACCACAGGCTTTGTCTCCTTCTCAGGGGTAACAGAAGCTCCTGGAGTGGGGGGTCTGCCTCATTAGCCTTGCATGTCCAGCCCCCAAAGGCCCCTCCCAGCACCTCTTCCTCCCCAGACAGGCATACTTCCCCTGGCCTCTAAACCCCTAGTAGGACTATCCCATCTGCTTCAGTCCCACAGGCTTTCCAGACTGACTCCTGGGTGGGGTATAAAGTCTTCTCATCTGGGGACCAAGGGGCTTCCCATCCTACACAGTGCCACTCCCTGCCTAAGGACAGAGGGGCTGAACCCATCCTGCCTCCTCTGCCTCCAGAGATCAATAAAGGAAAGACTCTGACCCTAGGACTGAGCCCTGGTTGCATATTAATGATTCCATCACCCCTAAGGATACCCTGCAGTGAATTATGGACCTGGGTTACTGAGGAGGAGGAAGCCTGTCACACTGGAATGGGGTAGATGCCATACCAGCAGGAACCTAGATGTAGGCCTCAAAGCCTCTGTGGCCTGCTCCCAGGGGCTTTCCTGGGAGGCTCTAAGGAGGCCCCTACAGAATCCCAGAGGCCAGCATGTGGGATGGTTCACTGGATAAACTGACACACAGAGGCACAATTCCTCCCACTAACAACAACTAACAGTTGGTGTTGCCAAATATACATTCTGAACAATGTGTGAAAAGAGCCTGCATTCCTTCTAAAACCAGGGGATCTTCCATTCTGTCAAAACTGTGGGTCTGTGCTGGCATCAAGTGCTTGCCTGTGTGGACCTGGAAAGCCTGACCACTGCAAGCAGGCCCGGAACAAAGCCTTTGAAGGTGCCTCACCACTGAGGTGCTGATGACTCGTTCAGGTTGGTACTCAGCTTCCTGGGTGCAGATGACTGGCCTATCTCCACAGCCTGAGGAACACTGGATCAGCCTGACTTGGGTAGCTGGAGGATGCTGAGATGAGGGGATGAGAGGCCCAGGGCCAGGCACCATCACTCACCGGAGCTGTTTCTTGGGGGCTGAACCATCCTGGCCGTTCCCAGCCCTGTCGCTCTTGAAACACACAGCCTTGTTGAAGCAGCTCCTGGATGGAGACAGAGAAGGCCCATGACACAAGGCCACACAGAATGCAGGGCACCCATCACTTATGCCTAAGAGTACTCAAGGAGACAAGGTCCTCAGCCCTGGTCACTGCTCCTTCCCAGAGCATTTTTTTGCCTCGAAAGAGTCCGTAATCAAACTGGGTGTGGTGGTGCATGCCTGTAATCCCAGCACTCGGGGAGGCAGATACAGGCAGATCTCTGTGAGTCCGAGGTCAGCCTGGTCTACAAAGCCAGTCCAGGACAGCCAAGGCTAAACAGAGAAACCCTGTCTCAAAAGAACAACAACAACAAAAAATCCGTACCCTAGAGAACGACCTGTGCCCCCAACAGCACATATGCTGAAGCCCAAACCACTGTGTGATAGTCTGGAGACTAAGCCTGTGGGGAGAGCATTAGGGTTAAATAAGGTCACAGAGTGAGTCCCATTCCCAGAGGGCTGGTCCCCTTCCAGGAGGAGGAGGACCTGCCAGGATGTGCTCTGCTCTAAGTGGACATAGCAAGACAGTGCTTGTCCTCAGCCAATAGGGCCTTGGTCAGGAACTAAGCCAGGGACAACTTGATCTTGAATCGTCCAGAACACTGAGACTATGATGGGAAGTCGGTCTCTCCCTAGGCATGGCCTGGCTGCTTCTCTGACACATACCTGTGCATGCTTGCCACACCATCTACTACCCAGACGCATCTCCTGCACAGCTGCAGCACCTCGGCAGACTCCTGTGTCAGTTTTCACGTGTGTGTGTGTGTGTGTGTGTGTGCGCGCGCGCGCGCTCGTGCGTGCGCGCACATGTGCCCACGTGTGTGCACACGTGTGTGGAGGACAGGAAAACCTTGGAAGTCATTCCTCAGGTGCTGTCCTCCTTGTTTTCTGAGACAGGGTCTCTCATTGAACCTGAAACTCACTGACCAAGCTAGGCTGGCAGGCCAGGGAGCCTCAGGGAGCCTCCTGTTTCTGTCACCCCCATTCCTGGACCATAAACATAAGCCATCATGCCAAGTTTTTGTTTTGGTTTTGTTTTTGGTTTGGCTTTTTGAGACAGGGTTTCTCTTTGTCACCCTGGATGTCCTGGAACTCACTCTGTAGACCGGGCTGGCCCCGAACTCACAACAATCCACCTGCCTTGCCTCCTGAGCGCTAGGATTAAAGGCATGCCACACCCGGCTCATGCCCGTTTTTCCTATGTGGGTGGTAGGGATTCAACTCGAGTCTCCATGCTTACATGTAAACACTGACTGAGCTGGCTCCCCGACCCTGCTTTTCAGGACATCTGCCTCTCCACTGCGCCTACCGCCCCAGCAGGAGCTAGCCTTCCCAACCCCAACCACAGCACAGCACCCCACACAGGACGCAGGGAATGCGGGCTGACAGTGTCTGCCACCCCAACACCCCAGGGCCCTCCTAGCACCTCAGCTTGTTCATGCCCAGTTTACCTCGTGCAGGGGGTCTCTCCTCATGTTTCGGCCTGCCAGCGGTTCATCATGTGGGAAGACAACAGCGTAGTTCTTGGCATAGGACTCATGGCTGCGCTCTCGAATCCAGCGCAGGTTGTCCGTGAGTGAGTGGTGGAAACGCCTGCGACCAAGGAAGGGCATGGATCACTGCTTGTAGAAACCTGTCAGGGATCCAGTCTGCAGCCAGCCTGGGCCAGGGCTAGCCTCTTTACTCAGTCACAGTTACCCAGCTAAGGATCAACTGGTCCATGGTTGATCTCTGTCAGGTTGGGTAAAGCAACACACGTGAGCACCCAAAACGCCCTGGGGAGAAGGGTGGTCCATTTTCCCATTTCACAGATGCAGAAACTGTGGCTGAGAGGAGAGGAAGGACTAGCCCAGGGCCACACAGCTGGGGGTCTCAGGATGGGCCACTGAGACCAACCCGTCCTGCTGTGGAAGAAGCAGCTGCTGTGGTCTGGAGGCCCCTGGTGCCGCGCAAGCCCTGGACCCTCCTTGCAGCTGGGATCTAGACATATCCAGGACCCAGTGCTGGCTGCCCTACCAAAATGTCCCTTACTGAGGGTGCCTCAGAGACAAGGGTGAAGGAGCACATTACGTCCGTGACCTAGTTACAAACAGGTGGCTCATGAGGAAAAAATGGTCACAGAGGACAGACAGTTAGGCTCTGATTCATGCCACCCTCCTCTGACTCTCTCTACATCTGTCTCTCTGTGTCTCTCTGTCTGTCTGCCTATCTGTTTCTCTCTCTCTCTCTCTCTTTCTCTCTCTCTCTCTCTCTCACACACACACACACACAGGCTTGGAGCCCACAGTGGGGCCTCAGGTACACTGCACAGGTGTAGGTGATCCTGGCTGATGTGGTCCCTGTTGCTGGCAGGGTAGCGCTGAGGATGGCCCTGTGGGTTTGGCTGCACAGCTGAAGGCGGTCAAGTTGCTCCACTCTGTTTGCAGTGGGAGGAGTGTGAACAGGCCCTTCCCTGAAGCCCCTTCCAGCTGCATCATTTCTAGAACCTTCTTCTCTGGGAGGAAAGCATGGACACGGCTGCAGACAGTCTCTGAGGGGATATAGAGCAGACCTCACAGCACCAGAAGCCGGGTTGGGGGTGGCACTCCGGGGTTCTCAGAGTCAGCCATCTGTCTTCATGGTGGCAGACGTCACCTCCCCCATGGGTGCAATGTTCCCATCCAGGCAAGAAGAGACAAGCTGGCAGCGCTGTGGGACATCCTGAGCTGAGCCAGCAGCCGCCTTACCCAACTCTGCCCCCATGTCAGGCCAATAGGGCAGCTGGGTCCCTAGAGGAGACTCTTGACCAGGAGCACATACTAACTGCAGACAGAACAGGCTGAGAAGCAGCCTCTTGCCCAGGTGCTCAGTGTCCTGCGGTGCCTTGTATGGCCCCAGCAATGGGCCACACTACCCAGGTCACTGACTATTCTAAGAATGGGACATGGAGGCTGGGTCAGACAGAATGGGGAGTCTCCTGTTTCTTGCTTGGGAGCCCTTGCAAGCCATGGAGCCCTAAGATGCCTTCAGGCTCTTCCCATCAGCATTTGGCCCAAGCCTCATGGTTCGGTGCCCATGGCTTTCCCACACATCCAAGTCACTCTCTGCACCCGCACTAGCCTGCACGATGTGGCAGAGCCTGCCTGGTGTTGAGTCTGATTCGTGTTTGGCCTTAGATTGAAGGAAGTGCCACTAGACAGAGTCCAGCTTCTATTCCTACACACTGACGGTCCCAGCTGGGCTCTTCTCCCAGCCTCAGGCTCCCCATCTGTGCCATAGAATGCTGGGGTCCTGTTGATGAGGATATGGGTCAGGCAGGACCTAAGCCAGGAGATCCTAGACACCACAGAGGCTGTGGACTGCCAAACCCAAGTGTTCCTCCAGAACGCCTCCCACCCGCCACTGCCTTCTTTTCTCCCACTCTCAATGCTCCCACTCTCAAGAGAGCACCTGGATTTCCAGGAGGTTCCTTTCTAAAACAGCCCTCGCCCCTTCGCCCCTGTGCCAGCCACCATCCTCTCTGGCTCCAGCCACCACACTTGCCTGATGTCATAGCTGTACATGTCCTTCTCTGGACGCCCGTGCATGATCCAGTGGGCCAGCTCCTGCCCGCAGCCACCACCCAGCATCATGCCTGGTGAGGTAGAAGCTCAGGGCTACAGTCTGCTCCCCATGCTCTCCACACCCAACTTCGCACCCCTACCTCCATGGCAGCCCCACCCAAACCCTACTCTCACTTCTGGGTGTTGAGAGGCTACACGCTCTCTGGCAGGACTGCACTCTGCACCACACACCTCCCTATCTCCACACCACCAGGGCTTTCCTCCTGGGCTCAGGAACCTGGAGCCTCGCCCTCGGGTGCCCTCTCACCTGCACTGTTGAAGCCACAGCCAAGGAAGAAGCCACGGAGCTCAGGAGCCTCCCCCATCAGGGGCTTGTGGTCAGGTGTGAAGGATTCTGAAAAGAAGGGGAAGCCTCAGACTCCTCCAGGCCTCAGGCACTTGGGGTAGTGCGTCCTAGGACAACAGGGATGAGGAAGCAGTCCTTGGATACCTCCTATGCAGAAACCTTCCATCCTTATAATCCAAGGTAATACTGTTTCCTCCAGGGGCCTCTCGGATTGCTCCTGCCCTTTTTCTCCTAAGTTCTTGACCTGTGACCTAACCAGCTCTGCCACATGGGCCCAGATTCATCTCAGGAACACTGTCACTGTCCCAGCAACAAGGGGCATTTCTCTGACCCAGCATAGTGCTGCAACTCCCCTCACTGAACCACCATCTTTCTGTGTTACTCTTCACTGAATATTAGGGGCAAGGACCAGGTCTCTCTAAAGGCCATAGACCCGGGGCTTAGTACAGAGGTTAGCCAAGTGTTCAATATGTGCTCTTCAGTGAATGAATGAATGAATGAATGGTCACATTTTCTCTGCTACCAGGGTGCCTTAGAGGAAGTTGCGGCCCTAGTCATGAATTAATCCCTGTTTGACTCCTCAAGCAAGCCACCCTGCCTCTCTGTGCCTTAGTATCCTCTGTTGAATAATCAGGATCCCAGTACTGACTCCACAGGGCTGGGTGAACATTTGTGCCCCGCCTGTCACATGCTCAGCCCTGGAAGGAAGCTCCGAGCAAGACAAATTCCACCCATCAGAGATGACTGGACAGCAAGAAAGACAGAAACCAAAGAGTCAAAATAAGCAAAAAAACGAGGACATCACCTAAAAACACCCCAAGGCAAGCCAGATGCCCCCCCCATCTGTATGGCATGAACTACTACTGCCCAATGTTTTATCACAGGAAAGAAAGCTGCCTGGCTGGGGTCAGCTGTCCCGTCACTCAGCAAAGCCGTGCAGATCCAATCCCAGGTTCTTAAGTTCTGCAGGGAGAGAAGGGACATGCCCATCCTGCTCCCTGGCGGGTTGTCAGAGCCGGGCCCGCTGGAGGGGCACAGTGTCTGAGTTGAGGGGGCAAGGAGCAAGGGGAAGCTTTCAAGTAGTAGGAAGCTGCTGGCACATCAGAGGACAAGGGCAGGGGAGACAAGGCCAAGCACTTGTTCCTGTATACATGGACTCCACAAGAAGGTCCGCCCCTGGATGACAGTTCCCAGACATGCAAGGCCAGAGCTGGAGAGTGTATTGGACACGAGAAATGGTCCTCTTACAGGCTCTGAGAGGCCAACACAGAGAATTCTCTGATCTGCCACACCATACATACTGGCCAAATACGAGCTGAGCAAGTCTCTCAAGGTTCCACATCTGCCCTGCGTGTGTCTGGAAGGACTTGGCATTTGAATGAGCATGCTGAGAGAGGGCTCAAAGCTGAGCCAGACCTGGATGAGCCAACTGAGTTTGGTGCACATCAGAGAGACACTGCACCAAAAAACCAGTGAGGAAGTAGAAGAATGTGGTCAGCAGGGACGATGGCTGGTTACTCTCCCGGTGGAAGGGCCCACGGGGGGGAAGGGGGGAGTGAGGCCTGTGATAGAGCTCAGGAGACCCTCCAGGGTGTGCGGCTAGACTGTGGGAGTGAGGGCAGGGGCAGGCATCTGGGCAGAGTGGCTGCAGAAGGTGATGGGAGCCATGTCCAGGTCTAGAAACATAAGAGAGAAGTCCCAAGCAGATTTGTGGGAGCTGCAGGTAGAAGTTTGGTAAGGGGAGCAGGTATGAAGTACACAGTCCCTCAGATTTTTCACAGAGGCAAGTCTGAGAAACTTAAAAGACATCAGAGCTCCCAGGAGCAGCGTGGGTGGAAGGATTTAAATCGGCCACCTCGGCTCTGAATTCTCAGCCTAGGCCAGTGAGCTCCATCTGCCCCAAGCTTTCCCAAAGTCTGGGGCTGGGACATCTTTGCATTCTGGAGGCCCAAAGCCTCTGAGCTGTCTGGCACGGAGAAAAGCTACACACTCCCAACCCCCATCCCCAAACCTACTCTCACTGCTGAGACCAGACCCAAGTTGCCTTTCCAAGCATACTTCCTCAAAATAGGGCCCCATGGGGGAGTGACAGCTTCCAGCCTAATTAGACAAAGAGAGCCACTCGGGACATTCATGCCCCTGGGATTCTTCCTGTGCTTCTCACCATCGGTCCCACTCTGGCTGAGCAAGGACGTGAGTCACAGCCCTCGCCCACGTCCCAGATCAGGCGTGCTTTCAGCCTGCTCATAGAGGCTAGCTGCCGACTCCATCTGGCCTCCCTGGGACTGCACCCAGTGCCACAGCCACACATGGCAACACAGACTAAGCTGGCTGTTATGTAGTCACCAACCATGTCCAGACAGTGAGGACTGGACTCCCCAGAGAGCCACAGAACCCTCTACCTGGGACCCTTCATCTCTCCTGAGAAGGCCTGGCCACTTTGCCCCATGGAAGTCCCTTGGCCTCCTGGCTCCCCACTTCATCCAGCTTGACTCTAGCCTGTGACTTCTCAGCCCCATGCAACCTTCCTGGCTGGTGTTCTGTCCCTGCTTCTCAGGTGTGGTGCCCAGGGGCTTGCACGCCTATCCTGTTTAGCCTAGCCAGCTGAAGAAGGTTTCCTTCTGTGCTACCTTGTATCTTTCCAAGCTCTCAAAGGACCTGTACTAGAGGCAAAGTTCACCCTATAGAAAAGAGGAACAAGCCCTGAGATTCTGCTGAGACCACCTTTCTACCCTGCCATGTGTCTTTATGTCTCGACCCAGCCCTGACTGGCTCTGTGATGGCTGACGGTGATCTTCAGCTTGGCAGGATGGAAAATCACCCAGGAGGCTAGCCTCTCGATCTAGACTAGGTTAGCCTCGAGGCACGCCTGGGACAGATTTTCTAGGTTAGGTTAATAGAGGTGGGAAGACACACTCTGAAAGTGGACAGCCCCATTCCCCAGGCAGGGGTCATAGCTGAGCACCACATTCAACTCTCGGCCCCACACAGGGCTTCTCCGCCACCTCCAACTGTACCCTTGAACTATGAACCAAAATAAACCCCCTTCTCCCTTAAGTTGCTCTTTGGGGGGCATTTTGCCACAGTAATAGGCAAAGTAACTATTACTTTCCCTATTACTGCTCCTTCCTCCAGGCAGACTACCCTGTGTCTTCTCTGCTTGCCCAAGAAAAAGATGGCCTTTGGCAAGAAAGAGTACACAGAACCTAGGTGTGTGGGGCTGCTGGGCCATATCACACTTATCTCAAAAGCAAGGCTGCCTGCATCTCACACTATCTGTCTCACCCTCGAGGGTCAGCGTGGACCTACGTGCCAGCATTTCCTCATTTCTAGGATCCTCACTCTGGGATGCGACCTGGGCTGCCCGGGTCAGTGGCCACTCTATAACCTACAGGGAGAAAGAGAGCCTGGGAGCTAGCTCCACCCTTCTCAGCCTCTGGAGACCTTCTGGATTCCCTGGCAGGAATCTCTCCGAGCCATCTCCAAGTCTACAGAGTTCTGGCTACCCAAGAACGGGGTAGGGGGAGCAGTGGCTGCAGACCCTGGCAGGAAAGTGAGAACTGGGGTGGAGTGCAGAGCCAGGGCTCCACCGGGTGCTCTTCCTGTCCTCACTCTGCCTCTCATGATGCAAGGACAGGATCCCGCATTTCCATTTTACAGACAAAAACCCCATGTTCTGGGGACAAACGGAGTCTGGAGTTTCAGTGTGGAGGTCAGAGCTTCACGGATACATCGCTGCCCTAGCTAAGCTGGGTTTTCTCCTTGAGAGGAAAATTCAGAGCCACCTGGCTATGCCGAGATAACATGAGACAGTCCCTCTCAGGACTAAAGGACCCTCTGCCCCGGCCTCAGCCTCCCTACTTACCAGGGCCACAGACAGTGGACTTGATCCCTGTCTTTTCTAGCACAGGGACACGGTTAATGGCACCTTCAATGTGCTGGGTGAACACATCCCAGTCCAGGTCAAAGAGGCCAAAGGCAAATTTGTCCGATACCTGTGAAGACAGCACAGGCAATCTGTCAATCCTCCATGAAAAGAACACAGATCCCTTCCAGGCCCGCCTATGACACAGCTCCAGCCCCTAGCCTGGTAGGGCACATGACTGATTTCTACCTGGTCAAAGACAGAGGATGGGACTCATTCGTGGGCCCCCAATCCACCTACACACCTTCCTTCACGGCTCCTCCCACCTAGTTTCCCTGGATTGTTTCTCCAGCTTCTTACCCCTAACCCATGCTCCCAAACCACACAGCACCCACCCTTCTCTGTAGCCTCCCACAGCTCCTACCACAACCTTGCAAAACCCTCCTTGTGCCTGCCCTCCCAACCACTCTCCTGTGCTTGGCCTTCTGACCTCCCTTCTGGTTTTAAGAAGGACAAGTTGAGCTAGTCATGGTGGCACACACCTTTAATCCCAGCACCCAGGGGTACTGGGAGTTCAAGGCCAGCCTGGGCGACATAGTAAGTTCTTGGACAGCTAGAGATACATGGTGAGACGCTGCCTAAAGAGTAAGGGGCCCTGTCTTGAAAGGCATTCTGGAGCTTCTCCTAGGTCACCACAACAATCTCAACAACTTCAATCTGACCTCTCTGGACACCCCATAACCTGATAACTGTATTTGGGGTGTCGTCACCACCTACATTGCACTACTTACCCTGTTAACTTTTTGCTTCTCTCCCAACCTCCAGGCATCTTGAGGCAGGGTTATTAGCTTAGGCTCCCCCACCCTTCCCAGAAGTAAAGTGGCATTTTACCTAGTCATTCTGTCTGTGGACGTGTGGATGAGACAGCTGTGTGTTCCCTTGAGTTGTCCTCTAGCCCACAGGCCCCACCAAGGCCCTGGCGAAGGGCAGGAGGGGCAGGAAAGCCTCAGAAGACCCATCACTGCTGCTGGCAGACCAAGGACTGGGCTGTCTCTAAGTTCCTCTAGAGTCCCAGCTTTGCCTCATGCTGAGGTGGGCAGCAATCCCACCCTAGCTTTTATGTATCCGAGTGACAGCTCTCAGAAACACTCAAGTTGGGTGGGACCAATGCACCTCTGTCTTTTCACCATGGGACCTTTGGAGGGGGGGCGGTCTTACCTCCTCCCAAAAGATAGGGTTGGCCTCATAGCCACCCACAGACAAAGCATCCCCCTGCAGGCGGAGGTAGACAGAAGCATCATGATCTCGGACATTGGGCATGTTCTGGAAGGCAAAGCAGAGAGGCTACAGGCTTCAAGCAGCCCTGGTAGGACTGGCTCCCATGCCCTGAGGTAGGCCCCGCTGATAGACCTGTGGCACCTTCTCCTACCCTGGAGATCTTTATGGAGACAGGCAGAGACAGACAGGGACCCCTTGAAGTGTCCCTGTTCATTTGTGAGCTATAATCAAAGTGTCCAGTTAAGGACTGCTTTCAGAAGCACAGAAATGTTTTCAGTAACCAAATACTGCTTTAAAATAATAACAGTTAGCTCTGCCAGGACCATCACCAGCACTGACCCAGAGCAAAATAGTGTGGGATTGTGGCGACCTCTGGTGGCCAGGGCAGTCTATGCTCCTGTCCCTGCAGAATGGTATCTCTGCCCCTTGGTACAGCCTCTTCCACAGGTCCCTGCCATTCTGAGGACCCAGCAAGTACTCAGCATACACCCTTCTGCCCAGCAACTCTGCGGCTCTCTCTACACGGGAGGCCACCCTACTCTGGTGGGCATTATGGCTCTACCCCCATTTTGTCCTCAGTTCTGGCCTCAATTTATTCTCCTCCAGCTGCTTCCTCTTGGAAGTCATCCTGCTTGCACCTGCCCTTCCTGGTTCTCTGAAGCACGAGCTGCCTAGACTACTCCATCTGTCACCACCATGGTCGCCACAGCTGCTCCACAAGCTCCTGCTAGAGGCTAGTGCCTTGCTCACTACATCACCTTGCTCTGCCTCAGCACAGCCCCATGCACAATTTATTACCCATGCTGCAGAAAAGAAAACAGAGCTGAGGATGTGGCTCAGTTATAGAATGCTTGCCAGCAAGTTTGAAATTCTGGGTTCGATCCCTAGCATGGCCTGAACTAGGAGTGGGAGTGCATAGGATGGCCAGGGGTTCAGGGCATCCTTGGCTACAATACGAGTTCAGAGCACCCTGAGCTACACAAGACCCAGACGGGAAAGACACACAGAAATAAAAAGAGGAGGGGAGAGGAAGTAAAAGATTGCCCAGCAAGATGGCTCACTGGGTAAAGGGAGTTTACCACCAAGCCTGAAAACCCCATGTTTGACCTCTACATGCACACATGCCCAAACAGACAAACACACACACACACACACACACACACACACACACACACACGAATCCATAAATGAAAATAAATAAATAAACGTAATAAAAATGTTAAAGAAAGAAAAGGGAGCTGAGGCTTTGCATGGTGACTGCACTCTCCTGGGCTGGATGGGAAGAGTCTGGCTTCCAGTCCACAGCCTGGGCTCTGGCCCTGTGTTTGGCATCGGGATGGGGACCATTTCCCTTCAGAAGCAGGTGGGACGAGGATGAAAATGTAAGACAGAAAAAACATGCCTTGAGTGGGATCAGCCCATGCCACAAGGAGGTCAGGGCAGAGCTGGCTAGGACCAGGGACCTAGGCAGCTCCCAAAGCTGGGAGAGCTCTTGGCTACCGCAGAAGATGGGCACCTAAGCCTTGCTTGAGCCTTTGCCTGTAGCCAGAGCCTGATGCTGTGAGAAGACAATGTCCTGCAGCACAAGGCTGTCCAATCCAGGGAACTTTCTGAGCTGAAAGGAAGACAGGTGACAGAAACCCCAAGGCAGCTTCCAGCCTTAGGCGCTTCCTCAGCACAGAGTGGGACCACAGAGTCTGAGGCAGGGGTCTACCTCCTGCCTAACCCCAGCATCAGGCAGGGCCAAACTCCAGTGTCCTCCATGTGGAGGGCTGGCGCCTGAGAACTCTCTCATCACACCACACTGTGCCCTGCACAGTCATGAAGCACTGGGGCTGCTGGTCCTATCCAGGCACACAGGGCCCCTGAGTGACCGTGTAACACCCACAGCTTGACTCTGACTTCTACGTTCATGACAAAGGGATGGCCAGCTGCAGTCTGTCCCACTGTTTCCCAGAAGGTGGACTTTGTCAGGCATCAGGGGAAGCTAGTTAGGGGTAAGGGGTGGCGCCCCTCAGTGGACCCCCATGGATAGGTCTCTCTTCCCTGCAGCCTCAACCAGAGACATATTCTCTGCCCTCCTCTACACCTTCCCTGCCTCAGCCCGGCTCTCCTGGAGTCCTTATGTTCAGAGAGTGACACCTCGTGGCCACCTGGAAAGCAGGTCTCCCCACAGCTGTGAACTTTAGTAGCCAGCATGGCCATTCTTCCTTGCACACTTTATACAGTACAAGGTAAGTGTCTTTATAATAAGGACCTACTGTGTGTTCGGGGAGGGAAGTTACCCTAGGATCAGTGGCAAAAACCTACCAGACCCAGGTTTTTGCTGTGCTACCCCCACAGCATTCACACCAGCAAAAAGCCAGGCTTGACACCTTGGAGGTAGGAGAGAGACCAAGGCTGGGGAGGCAGGCCCCAGGGACAAGGCTTCTAGCATGGGGAAGAGGGGTATCCAGGTGTCTCAAAGTGATGTGACCTCTCATACTGTCTCTATCCCACAGCTCTCTGAACTGTCAGTCAAAACCAAACACCATGCTCTGTGACCCTCTCCATCACCTTAAAATCCTCACTGGGGTGTGGCCTCTTCCTTCTCCAGGAAGCCCCCAAAAGATCAACTGGTCCTCCAACCTTGGCTAGGAATATCAGGCAGCCCATGCCCAGCCACATTTGGTTGGCCTAAGGGAGGGGAGCTGAGTGTCTCTGGGTATGGTCCATTGGAACAGGCACTAGTTCTGAACCCAGGAAGCCCTGGGAGAGTCCCCTCCCAGGACTGACTGTCTGTCAGATCGATCCCCCTTTTCTCTTCAGGGAAGAACTGGGTCTCTCTCTGTTTTAACCCCACCACATGGAAGAAGGCCTGGAACATGAAACACCACCCCCAGTTAGTGTTGGCTAGAGACGAGGTTAGATGCCCACTGGAAAGAAGAATTAACAAGTAGATGGATGATGGCAGAACAGAGGAGGGAGCTGGCTGCGATGGCACATGCCTGTATTCCCAGCACTCAGGGAGACAGAAACAGGTGGAACTCTGTGAGTTCAAGGCCAGCCTGGTCTACAAAGTGAAGTCAGGACAGCCAAGGCTACATGGAAAATATCCTGTCTCAGGAAGAAGAAGGAGGAGGATGAGGGAAGAAAAAGGTGAATGGGAAGGGGGAATAGATCATGGATAGGTGGGTAAATGGAAGTCAATAAAGAAGAAGGGATGGAAAGATGGATGGATGGATGGATGGATGGATGGATGGATGGATGAATAAGTAGATAGGTGAATGGCTAGCTAGATGAAAGAAGTCATCAAGGAAGAATGAAAGGTAGTAGGGTAGCAAGAAGAATATAGGGACGAAAACAAATGAAGAATGGGGAACAGAGCAATAAGAAGGATAAAAGAAGACTGGAGAGATAATGCCACAGTTAAGAGCACTAACTGATCTTCCAGAGGACCAGGGTTCAGTTCCCAGCACCCACATGATAGCTCATAGCTGCCTGTAATTCCAAGATCCAACACCCTCACACAGACATACATGCAGGCAAAACACCAAGACACATAAAATAAAGATTGTTTTAAAGGATAAAGGGATGGAAAGAGGAGGATGGATGCATGGGGATAAAGAGAGGGGGAGAGGTAGAAAGAGGAGAGGAGGATGGATGCAGTGAGTTTAGAGGAGTGGTGGAGGGGGCGGAGGGAAGAGGATGATGTGCTCAGATGACCAGTGGAGGGAAGGAGGGAGGTCAGTAACAAGGCACCAGAAAGCTGCCAGCCAACAGCATAGGAAGGAAGAGTTGAGTAGAGCAAGAGAGGGGAGAGAGCAGAGACACCTGGCCCCAGGTCCCTGTGCTACCCCAGGTTGGGGGCTCCTCAGCAGAGGCTCTCAGAGAGTGCCGGGAACCAGAATCCTCTGAGAGAGGACTCGGCATGTTTGGGAGTTCTCTGAAACTCAGGCATGAGACATGAACAAAGCCAGACTGGCTACCTATGGCAGGGCCTGATAGCCCTGGTTACCAGACTGGAGATATCAAGGAGAAGCCATGCCCTGGCGACCAAAGTAACCCACACCATCAAATTGACTGTGCCAACTCATGCACACCACCCAGAAGTCCCCATTGCACAGAAGAGGTAGCTAAGGCTGAGGGCTGGGACATTTGTCGTGTCCCAGCCAGGCGTTAGGGGAGAGTCCTGACCTCTCCAGCCCTCCCACTGCAGAGAACCTGGTGCCATTGCCTACCTGGATCCCCTCAATGCGCTCAGTGACGACATAGGCGTGGTGCATGGCCACCAATGGGACTTTCACCCCAGCCATCTGGCCCACAGTGCTTGCCCACACTCCTGGGGGCAGAATGGAAAGCAAGTCAGCTGCCATCTGAGTGGGCATGAGATTCCTGCCAGTCCTGACTTCCCACCCCAGAGAGAGAGGTCCTTCAGGGGTAGAACCAGAGCCGAGGGCAGTCACAGGAGCACCATTCCACCTGCACAGTTGACCACACAGGGCGTCTGGATGGAGCCATGCTCTGTCTCCACAGCTGCCACCCTCCGCACTCCAAAGTCATCCGTCCGCACTCGGATGCCAGTCACTGGGCAGTTTTCAATGACCTGAGGTGGGAAAAAAAAACTGCACCTAGAACCACGTGAGGCTCTCTGAAGAACTGACTTCCATCCCCAACCTCCTAGATGGGACCAGAGGATGTTGCCTCTGTGAGGAATACTTTCTGATCATATTTTCCTCATTTGGATCAGAGGAATGGAAGCCACATCACAGGAAAGCAGAACCCACTCCCTTCCTTAGGTGGGAAACTTGTACAAATGTGGCAGGAGTGGAGCACTCATCCAGAATAAGAGAGGACCACTGATTGTTCAGGCAAGATTCATTTAAGGAATGGGAAAATGTTTGTAAATCACTGTGGTTCTTGTTTGTGCTTTGTTTGTTTGTTTTGTTTTATTTTGTTTTCGAGACAGGGTTTCTCTGTGTAGCCTTGGCTATCCTGTACTCACTTTGTAGAGCAGGCTACAAAGATCTGCCTGCCTTTGTAGAGATCTGCCTGCCTTTGCCTCCCAGAGTGTTGGGATTACAGGTGTGCACCACCACACCCGGCTCATTTAGGTTCTTAAAACATATAACAAAATGATTTGTGTCTGTTTATTCTTTTGTGGAAACAGAGAGAAATATACTAAAAATGCCCATAGTCCTGCAGGACATTTTTACTTTCCTTTTGCTTTTTTTGTCTTTTTGTGTGTACATGTGTGTGCATGTACTGTGTGTGTGTGAACCTGATACAACCCAGAATCACGTTGGAAGAGTCCTAACTGAGGAATCATCTGGATCAGGTTGGCCTACGGATGTGTCTATGGAAAATTGTCTTGATTGTTAACTGACCTAGCCCACTGAGGGCAGCACCGCTCCCTAGGTTGAGCCCGGACTGCAAGAGTGAAGGAAGATAGCTGGGAAGGCAAGCAGCACAGGTGCGCTCCTCTCCCTCTGCCCTTGGATGTGGGGTATGATGCAGCTAACTGCTTGAATTTCCTCCTTGACTTCTCAGCGTTAGACCATAGCCTGGTTGTAAGTCCAGCCAACCCTCTCCTTCCCTAAGTTATTTTTGGTCAGATTGTTTTTAATCATAGCAACAAACATGACAGTGTGGCATGCAGGTACGTTTGGAGGCCAGAGAAGGACATTGGCGCCCTTCTCTCTCACTCTCTGTCTCAGTCCCTTGAGGCAGGCTCTCTCCCCGAACCTGGAGCTCACTGCTTCCGTGAGGGCGGCAGCCAGAAAGCCCAGGAACAGCCCCTGCCACACGGACGTTGGACATGCAAACAAGGTCCTCATGCTCGTGCATCAAGTACTGTCACCCGGTGAACCACAGCCCCAGCCCCTGCTTATCATCTAAGTTTTCCTACACTAAGTGTGCAGTTGAGGTAAATGAAGACAAAATGGTAAGAAGGGACCCAGAGATGACAGCGCAGGATCCTTGAGTCAAAGGATGGGACGAATGCACCCAGAGGCTGAGAGGGTCTAACTGGCCCAGGACCACGCACCAGGCCAAGGGTGGAGCCTGTTCGCTAGCCTCAGGGTTTGTAGGGGAAAGGAGTGAACTCTGCGCAAAGAACCAAAGTCGGCAGTGATGGGTACCTGAGCTCCTCGGGCCACCGCTGCTCTGGTAAGGGTAGTGCAGGTGCCAGCCGGGTCCATAGTGCCATCCTGTGGCACATACAGGGTCCCGTAGAGATCGTCCACATTCATCAGTGGATACAGGTCCTTAGTCTCTGCCGGGCTCAGCACATGGGACTCTATACCATAGGCCTTGCCCAACTAGAAGGACCCAGAAGAAAGTACGTGAGCTCACAGGAAGCAGGTCTTCAGGCCCCTCACCTGACCTGGGGCTCTAGGTACAACCCAACCCTGAGCAGGTCTCTATGCCCAGAGGACCCCTTGGCTCTGCTCTGGCAAGAGGGCGAGGGGTGGAGCCAGCACAGAGGCAGGGTCTAGAGCCACACCCCTTTGGCTCTAGCATCTGCTCCAGTGCCAGCTTTGGTGGGGCAGGAGGGCAGAACACCCACCCCAGAAATGAGCAGATAGTAATCTGTGCAGCTGACTGAGAACTTAGCCAAGAATGAGCTACAAATTGCTTAGTGTATCATGATAAAATTAAAATGACCCTCACAGTCTCAGATTTTGGGTCTGAGGATTAGGCTTTTCCCCCAAGAAACAGCAACATGCTCCTGGCTTGGTGGCACTGGACCAAGGCCAGCCAATCAAGTGGAGGTGATGACCTATTTAACAGGACTCCACCCAACTAACAACAAAATTCTCTAAGGATATTTTTTCTTTTTGAGACAGGTTTTCATGTAGCCCAAGCTGGCCAGAAATTATATAGCCAAGGATAACCTTAAACTTAACTCCCGATCTTTGTGATAGGGTAAAAGGCATGCTCCCACTATACCAGGCTTCACAGGTAAAACTCAGTGACTGAATAGTTCTAAGTCCAAGGTTTGAGAGCAGGTGAACCACCTCATTGTTTTATTCAGAGTTGGGGGGGGGTGAATCCCAGGGCTTTGGGCACACTAAGCAAGCGCTCTGCCAACTGAACCACAACCCCAGCTCTCCCCAGAAATTTTGAATGAAGAGTGTGGCCAAGTCTGTCCACCCAGCGAGCCCAGCCAGCAGAGAATGAGAGGGTTTGAATCCAGATCTGTAGGCACTTGTTTCCAATGCCAAGGGGCTATTGCATGCCCTCATAGCTGAGGTCTCCTCTGCCTCGCTGTACTCCACAAAGAGCACAGCATCTATGTGAGCTCCCAAGAGGTACACACCCCACCTTTCCCACCAGAGCCCCCTGCGGAGAGACTGAGACTGCGCAGCTTTCCCTGGGAGCACACCTACCGACATGAGCCTCTTGTACTCATCCAGACGCTGGCGGTTAGAGGCGATGAAGAGGCCGCCATTCTGGATCCAGCCTGTATGCAGCCCAGTCTCCTCCTCCAGATCATGGCTCACCACCTGCCGCGTGTGGGCCAGAAGCTCAACCTCCACATCGCTGGGCCGCAGCTGCCACAGTAAGCCTGGGCCAGAACAGGACACCATCAGTCCCCCGAGAGGCGGCATCACACCCACTTCTTCCAGCCAAGTAACGGGCGCAGTGGAGAGCCCAGGGAGACTGAGAAGGACACAGCTGGATACAGATGGAGGTTAGGACCATGCTGGGGCAGCTCCAAGTGACACTATCAAGGGCTTTCCTTAACAAGTGCCATCTAGGCACCAGGCCTGGTACAGAATCTAGCTGAAGTCTTGAGAGGCCCAGGCTAGCCTCAAACTTGCTATGTAGCCAAGAATAAACTTGTGTTCTTTATCTTTCTGTCTCTGGCTCCCAAGTGCTGACAGGCCACCACACCTGTCTTTGAGAGGCTCTTTCATAGGAAAAACTCACAGCACCAAATAGGTGAGCTCAAAATCACAGAGCAGGAGAATGGTACGACTGAAAACTGACTGGACCTAGAAATCCCATTCTTCCTAAGATTGTTGCTCTCAACAGCAATGGCTGTGGTAGAGGTCAGGAGTGAGGCTGATGTGACATGGAGGGGCAGGCCTGAGAGCCCCGCCGGGCCTGGCTTTGGGTAGGGGTGAGGGCTTAAAGCAGTGGTTCTCAACCTTCCCAATGCAGAGACCCTTTAATGCAGTTCCTCATGTTGCGGTGATCGTCAACCATAAAATTACTTCATTGCTACTTGATAATTGTGATTTTGCTATTGTTATGAATCATAATGTAAATATCCTATATAAAAGACAACTGATACGCAATCCCCAAAGGGGTCACAACCCCCAAGTGGAAAACAGTAGGCTTAGACAGAGTGCACTCTGGGACAGACTGAACCAGTTGTCCAAGCTCCAAGTTCAGCAGCCTCACATTGGCCTCTTGACAGCTGCTGAGGTGCAACTGTTCGCCGGCGCACCACTGGCTAAAAGGGCCAAGGGCATGCCAACTGTAGGTGCTTAGTGGGCTTGCATAGGGTTAATCAGGGGAGTGCCACAGAAGGTGCCTCCCCCACCACACAGGTCCATCTAGCAGCCGTGCCTCTACCTAGTGGCTTTCTGTGGGGGAGGGGCCTCTGCTCTAACACAGCCCGGCTTCACCCCTACCTAGAGAGCCACAGGCAGTGCCCACCACCAGCACAGAACATCTGGCTGACCCTCCACCCCATCTTTCCTCTCCAGGTTTGCTGCCTCTCCCGGACGGACCCCACCTGTGTCCCACCTACTCGCTCTCACCTGCGGTGTGCCAGGTGGTCCCAGAGGTCAGTCGCTCTCTCTCCAGCAGCACCGCTCGGCCTACACCCAGCTTGGCCAAATGGTACAGAGTCTGGCAGCCCAAGCTGCCCCCACCGATGACCACAACATCGGCTGTGCTAGGCAGGGGCTGGCTCGGTCCTTGGGGCACCACTCCTGGTGACTCCCCCTCCTTCAGGGTCCGCTGGTACGGAACATTCTTCTCGGTGGTCGGCCTGGCCTCCCTAGCTAGGGGCTGCAGCCTCAGGTTCCAAGCAGATCTCCCTTGAGGACAGGTGGCAGCGACACGAAGGGTGCGGCTCAGCCAGGCCATGAGGATCTAGGGCTTCTGTGCCCTGGGGAGTCAACAAGAGAGTCAGGCTGGTAGGGTGCAGGGCAGACATGGTGGGAGTTGGGCTAGGTGTGTGCACCTCATGCCACATCCTTGGCCTTCTTTCTGTTGCTTCTCTGTGTGATGCGTATTCGCTCACTTATCCACTCTTTCATTCACCTATTCACCCACCCACTCCCCTATTCACTCATCTACTCACCCATCCACTCATTCAGTTAGCATTGATGTATGAAGAGACTCTAGCTGGCCTTGGAAGACAGCTCTGAGTAAGGAATGGGTGTCAGAGAAGTGGGGCTGACATACAGCTGGCAGATATCCCAAATGAAGCCTAAGAAAGCAGGATTATCCAGAGAGGAAGGGCACCTGCGGACAGGGGGCTAGGCATAAGAAAGGGCCCTCAGAGGGACACTGAGTGTCCTCACGGGGCAGAGATAGCATGTTATAGCGGTGAGAACATCAGGGCCTGGTGAGAGCCTATCTCCTGGGCATGACGAGGGCCCTGTCTGGTCTGAGCTAGAGATAAAGGGCCTGGGGAGAGACTATGTATTCACTCACTTCCACAGAATAATCTGAGGCCCACGACTCTTCTCTCTATTTCAGGGGAAGAGACTGAGGCAAGAAAGGCTTCCTGTGGTGACCGAGGTTACAGGCCTCTGTTTGGCTGCATACTGTGACCTGAAAGCCAAATGTTCCCCTGATCCCTCCCAGCCTGAGGACTTGGGGCCTGCTTTGGCACCACATCCCACTCTGAACACTACTGAGTCTTCACAGACACAGTGGTCCGCCCTCCCTAGCACCCACTCCAAGCATAGGGAAAGGAGTCCCTGCTCTGAGCTGCCTCGGGAGTGGGGAAGGGTTGGACTTTTAGGCGGGAGCTGTCTTGGCCTTACAGTCTCTCAGGTCATCTCCATCCCTACAGTGACAGCTGCCAGCCTTCTGTAGCTTCCACGGATGCCACAGGAAAGGCCCTCCCCTCAGCAGGACTCTATACATACCTTAGTCTTTAAATGTCCTTAGTTTTCCAGAAGCTCCTGAGAGGGTCCTAGCAAGGGAAAGTCAGCATGATACAGACCCAATCGAGGCTCTGCAAGGCCAGGCAATGCCTCTACCTTCCAACAGAATGCCAGGCACTGCACACCTGCCAGAGGAGCCTCCTTCCTCTCCAAACTGTGCCTAGTGCCAATGCTGCTAGCTTGGGGAGCTGCCACGTGCCCCTTCCTTGCCAGCCCAGCCAGTCACAGCAGGGGTGGGGGGTGGGGTAGCCAGGCCCCTAGCCTGCTTCTCCTCCTTCAGAACAGCTGTTTCATTAACCTGCCCTCTGGCCCCTGCAGCTCCCTCCCTCAGCTTCCTGAGGGCCAGGGCACAGGACACATGGAATGAGAGCTCGCTCACAGGCCTGAGATCTCAGATACAGAGCCCTCTTTGAAGGCTGTGACAGGGTAGTAGGGAGCCAAAGGGGGGAAGGCATCCTGCAGAGCCCTCAACCCCTTCTGCACCCCCACAGTTACCCATGGTCTTTCCACCTACTCTATGGTCTCTTCAACTAGAAGCAGAGGGAGGTCCCAACTAGCCAGCAGCCAACTCCAACCCTGCCCAGGAAGGCGCTGCCAGGACACGGCCCCTCCCTTTTTTCCCAAGCTGCATCTGGGTCTAGCTGAACAGGCCACCCACTCCCTTGCTACTGGCCCTACAGCTGGGTCAGGAATGTACCTCCCACTACCCCAGCTTCCTGGCCAGCCCTGCTGGGACAGGGGCCAAGTGGGCAGTTCTCCTGGCTGGCTAGCAGAGAAGGGCCGTGAAACCTGAGCCCATCTCTGTGGATGGCCTCCCCCTCAGGCGTTTCCTTCCTCATCTCTAAACCAGGCCTCTCCCCACTCTGCTGTGGTGCCCCTGGGCATACTGCCTTCCCACCCTTGCCCACCCTGGTTCCCCATCCCCCCAAACCAGCTCAACCTACAGTTGGCTGCATGGGTAGACCATCCCTCCTCGAACTGAGGGCCCTGGTGAGGTCATCTTGGCACAAGTCTGTGTTTCCCACCCCAGCTTGCTCACTCCTGGGACCAGACAGAAAGTCCACTGTCTGAGGAAACCAGCAAGGCAGTCTGTGCGGATATCACAGGGGTGCCTCTGCAGCCTGCTCTCTGGAGCGCTTTATCTTTCCATGCTTCAGACTTCTGCCTCCCTATGGCTGCTGGAAATACCAGAGCCCACACTGTCAGAGGGAGTCAAGCAGCTGCCCACAGTCTGCTTGTGTCCAGGACATTGTACCCATTCCAGGCAAAAGTAAATGCCCCAGGTGAATCCAGGAACAACCAATGTCTTTCAAAACCTCTGTATGTCCAAAGAATCAAAGGAGGTGGTGGTACCAGCTAGTTCCTCCTGCCCAGCTGGGGCAGAAGGACCTATTCTGTGCGCAGCCCCACTAACCACATAGCAACACCAAGTCAGAAGGGACAGGGTGCTGGAATTCACAGCTATATGCTTGTACTCTTACATGGAGCTGTCCAGCTAGCTTTCTTGCTGCTGTCTTGTCTCTAATGTTTATCTACTGAATACCTATTGTATACAAAGTAGCTGCTGGGGATCCAGCTTAGATATCTAAGCTTAGATACCTAAGACCCAGGCCTGGCTTACAGGGCCTTATGAAGCAGAAAGCAAAGATGGAGGGGCGAGGTCCCTGCATGGCTCCCTGGGAGCTGTTTTGCAGCTGGCTGCAGTGGGACGTTTCAGAGGAGTGGCAACGTCTCTTTGACAAGCCATTGTTGCCCTAGGTCTCAGTATCTGCCTTGAGGGCTGGTTGGTTTGGGGGGCCCCAGCCTGTGGCTTCTCCAGGACAATGTGGGATACTGAGATAAGGGAGAGAGCTACCTGGTCTGTCCAGATGCAGCCTGTGCCAATGTAAAGCCAAACAAAACTGAGGTCAGGCTGTGCTCACTGGACACAGTGACAGGCTGACAGGAGAGAAGGAAGAAGGAACAAGGCCTAAGTCTTCTAAGTCCCAGCCCCAGTGGTGTAGAAGGGACACCTGGTTAATAGCTCCCTGGGGCAGTGGCCAGGCTCACACACTGACCCTGGACTTTGGACAGGGGTGGTATCAGGAGGCTGGGCCTGGTCAGCGCTGTCCAGTCATCCTGTTCAGGTCAAGGCTGTGTCCGTGAGCACTGGAGGGCACGGGGGCAGGGTCCTGTTGACACTTGCATGGATGCAGGTCACTCTCCTCAGCTCTCCTGCCACCCAGGCAGAACTGTGGTCCACCTCTCCCCCACCCCACCCCATCCCACATTTCCATTCTACCTTACCCAGCCTGCATTATACTATCAGTTTTACACCATTCTTAGAAATTTCTCTGAGTATTTTGACTCTCCTAGTGTATTCGAGAAAAGATAGCTGAGGCTATCTCTCAGGGAAAGCAGAAAGAAGGGAAGGGGGATTTCGAGAGTTATAAGAATGGGTATCTGGGAGAAGGGGAGTCTGTGAGCTGGAGGGAGGGCTTTGAAGTGTATAACAGGAACTTGTGAGTAGGGCCTGAAGAAGCCTGGAGGCTAGCATGGACCCTGATAAGCTGATAGGCACCACAGGCATATGTTAATGGGAGAACCATATGTCCCAGAGATTTAAAAAAAAAAAAGGCTCCTTTTGGTAAGTGGGAAGCAGTTTCCTGTCTTGGTCTGTCTTTTTGGAGTTTGGGGAACTGGAGTTTCCTTTGCACCTGACCCTAGCACTCTATGAAGGAGACCATAGTGTAAGCTGGAGTCACAGTTGGTCCCATTCTTTGGGGTTGGGGATTATCTCCAGGCCATGACCTTTCCCAGCTGCACAAACTCAAGCAAGGGTTGTGGCAGGCTGGTCTCCCCTGCCCTCGAGACTTTCTTCTAATCCAGAAGGGCTCCCACCTGCTGATCAACCTTGCAGACTACCCCTACCTGGGTAGAAGTCTCCTAGCAGGCGTATAAACTGACGGCAGGACCACTCCATGTTTTTTATTACAGATATGAGAGAAAGAGCAGCCAGAGGTAACCGGAAGAGCCCAGAGCAGAGAGAAAATGAAGTAAACTGAACATGGCTAGTAGACAGGAGCTGGCCATGAGAAGCAGGAACACAGAGAGGGGGCGGGAGGAATAGCAGAGTTATAAGGAAAATGAGTAGCTGAGAGAAGGAAAGCCCAAGAGGTAGTTTAGTGTAGGGGAGGAGGTAAGAAGGGCTAGGATGCTAGCATGGACTTTGAAATGTGTAACAGGTACTTGCCACACTGAGGGAGTTTAGAGGCCAGCATATGCTTTGATATCCTGATGGCCAACAATGTAGCCATTTATCCCTTCTGGCTTTTGGAACTTGGGGAAATGGAGTCTCCTTTGGACCTGACAAGTAAAGGGCGCCCAGGGTCTCAGCCCCAGTCACTCTGAGTGGTAATGAGAGAGCTGGCTAAATAAGCCTGACCAGTACCATGACTGGTTTCATTTTCTTGCTAGACAGAACAGGCCTAAGAGTTACAGGGAAAAACAGAAAAAAGGCAACCAATCAGAAACAGCCAACACATCTGGCCTGGGGAAGATAAGGTTGCTTAACTATGGGTTTGAAAAACACCTAAGTCCTGACCAAAGTCACATAGCCTCCATGGGCAACAGCCAATGCCAACTGAGGTTACATAGCCACAGTAGGACTTGCCCTTTCTGGCTTTAAAAGGGACATTAGAGCTCCCCTCGTGGTGGCCACCATGTTGTTGTTGTGCCCAGATCTTAGGGTTCCCAAAGACCACCAGGAGCCAGACCACGTATGCAAAAGCAAAGAGCTTTATTCAGGCTTAAGCTCGGTCTCTCCACCGTCACCAACACAGTGGATCAGAGAGGAGAGCCCTGAGCAGCTGCATGGCAGGGTTTTTATTTGGGGCTTGAGCAAGAACTGGGAAATCCCAGCATAGCAGTTACAAGACTGGATGATAGTTAGCAAGAACAAGCTTGTTACAAAGTAATTGGCTAACTAACACAACTAACATTAAGTGAGCTCAGGAATGTTAGGTTGGTGGGCTGCCCAGCACAGATGCCCCACCTTAAGATACCTTCCCATTCTTGTGGTACCTCCAGGCTATTCCTTGGATAGGGAATTTTATGTTTTGTTTTGTTTTTTAATTCCCAGAATTGGTGACCTATGGCCTAGTTCCTAAGACTGATGACTTTTGGGGGAGAGGGGTCAGGCCTGTTTCATTGTGAAGGTGGTGGCCCCAGCATACTAGATTTCTGCAGAATAAACGTCCTTTGTTGCTTGCATGCTACTCCAGTCTGAGGTTCTTCTTTCAGTGTATTCCAGACCCTAACAGTGCTGGGGTGGAGGAGCCAGTCAGCATGTAGCTGTATGTATGAACTCTCAGGGTGATGGGAAGGGCCTCTGTGATTGCAGAGATGAGAAAAATGAAGCAGAACACAGCTTTGGGTGCCAGATGGCCACAGGCCACTGATAAGTTACCACAGCAGTTACAGGTTTCATTCATGTCATCAATATTTAATTTTTAATGAATGTAAAGCAAAGGGGCTAGTGGATGGCTGGGTCAGCAAAGCGCCCTGAACAAACCCCTGAGTCTGGTCCCCAAAATCCACATTTAAAAAAAAAAAATGCCAAGCACCATGATGCATACTTGTGATCCCAGTATGTGAGGGTGGTGACAGGAGCTTGCTATCCAGTCAGCCTCACCTACTTGGTGAGTTCCAGGCCAACGAGACCCTGTCTCAGAAAACAAGGATGCAGGCTAAGTCAGGATCTTCCCAAGGAGCAAGAGGCAACTCTCCCAGGAGGAAGTCCCTCACAGTCCAGGCATTCCAGAGAATGACCCTGGGCATCTTCCTGGCCTTGGCCAGTGGGTGTGAGCCCTGCACCTCCCAGAGGACCCAGAGCTTCTTGGCACTGTTTCAGCTCCCGCCTCTGGGTTCCTGCCCTGCCTGAGTTTGATGATGAACTGTGGAAACAGCAATTAAATAAACCCTTTCCTCCCCAAGTTTCTTTGGTCATGGTGTTTCATCACAGCAATATTAACCCTAAGACAGTCCCCACACATCATTTTGTCCTCTTACATTTTCCACTATCCTGGGAGCTTTGCCTTCCGAGCTGTTTTCCAGGACTCTGGGGGTGCTTTCTCAACCAGCACCCAGGGCATAGGTGCCTCTGAAAAACATCCCTTCTGGGGCTGGGGCAGCCAGGAAAGTGTACTACACGGGGAGGAAAGAGTGTAAGCATTGTCAAGCTCTTTCCCTACTAGGTTCAAATGTCCCCAGGTTCCTAAAAAAGGGCAAAGCACCAAGGGTTGGGGCTCTGGTCTCCCATTCCTGAAGAGGACACTTAGCAAGAAATACTGCACCCTGGTGGTTATTTGTGAGTTACACACCCTGAGAGAGCCCGGCACTGGCCTGGAGTGTGGCCATGGGTAGAGAGGCAGGACTGACCTTTGGCTGGACTGCCAGCCTGGGCTCTCACACAGCCCTGCAGACACTCTGGACCAGCCAACACCTCAAGGAAGTC